AACAATCACGCACTATTTTCTAGGCAAAACTACCAAATGACTGGGCTAAGAAGCATAATTCACATATTGATTCTCATAATGGGTTTTAGGTAAATTTGACGTCAAAACCTTTGCTTCAGAAAATGCGATGGTGCATTCTCTCGAGCGACCATCTGTACGCCATACCAACTTGCGCGATGAACAAATTATATGACGAATATTTAGGCGCTAAATAATTCAAATGTATCGTTTACTCACAATTTTGGGTCAATGTTTATTTTATTTTCTCAAAGGCATTTAAATCATGACTAGATACAATTATAATTAGTTATAGTTGTCAATATAAACGATATGAGTTCTCAGTCACATTTTGCAACTTTTTACCAAAAATTCCGTTAGGCTTGATGTACCATTTGAAACTGCAAATAATATGAGTTAAAACTATTAAGAGTAGGTCTTTATTTTGTCTTTGATTTGCATACGCGCATATAATTTATTTGTATTTAAATTTAAATTTAAAATCTACTTTATTTAAAACCAGCACAAAAAGAAGTAGTGGTTGCTATGGGTATAGGCGGTCCGTTTTTACAACTTCCTGTAGGCCGACACGACACGATTCGACCTGGCGCTATCTGATTAAAATCACAGCCTAATAGCCCTCTAGGCACGAACGCAAAACCCACCACCAAAAGCCCAACACAAGCGCCCAAAGTAAAAACACACTGCATGTACTAGCGTAATATGCAAATTGGTGAATCAGAACTCAGCATTATAGATCGGTACACAAACTTGCACACACATTTCTGGACTTGTGGTGGACATTTAACATTTAACCTGGTTTAGTTATGCCATGTTTGTATAGTACCAGCAACACTCATGGTCGTTTCCACTTGCAATTTTTTTTTTGCTTTGACCAAGCGAAGCAAATAGAAAATTCGCGAAGAAAATTTACGATGCTTCGAGGTAAAGATTTAAGGTTTTCCTTGAAGTTGTCCCCTTGGGCGAAACCAAGAATTGATGGTCGTAACTTGCAACCACTAAAAATATAAACTAGAATCGCCAATGTAATGCCGGTTGAATATTCATTAAGGTCACCACTCACTCATTCCCTCACTCAGCATTCATCGCCAAATTATAATGCTTTTCGCAAAACAAAAGAATATCATTACTTCAATTTTTTAGAATTAGTCAAGTAATGTTTTGTTGTACGTGATACTAAAATAAAAGAAATGGTTTTTCTTAGAATATGAAATTAATAGTCTAGTTTTTATTGCAATTTTCTTGTTTCGAAAGTTTGCATGATTGTAAATAGGGCACAGGTTATTAAATTGTCGACTGAAAAGTATTATAAATTACTAGTAAATTAAGTTTTATTTTAGTAGGGCAGCAAATAAATGATAAACTTTATTGGGTCATGATACAGGAACGTGAAGGTATTCTTTGTTATCGCAACTTAAAACAAAACCTTTAAAAAACAAACATGTTCGGAAAAGTGTCACTGATTTATTTATTATTTTATTAATTTAATTTTTTTGCGACCTTATAGTGCATAGTAAAAAAAAACATTTAAACTTTACGATTGCAAATCAATCCCAACTGTTTAAGCGAAACAAAACGTCGAACATTGATGATGAACAAAAATTGTTTAAACACACTTACACTGTCTTTTTAAAAATAAAAAATAACTTTTATGTTAGCTTAGAACTTATATGTTATATGCTTAGAATAAACAATTATAAATCTCACTTCATACAGTTAATGTAAGCTAAACTAAACTGAGCAATTTTTATAAGGATTTTTGCAATATTTGCAGAGTTTAGTACTGAAAAAAGCTATAGTAACCAAAAAATACTAATTTATTCAATTCTAAGAGCGTCATAGAAACACTTAATTAGGTATATGATGACGTCCAAACTCTCAATCTTTAATATCCCCAGGTCATAATATGATTAACTGCTTTTTTCCTGTTTTCCACTTCCGATCCTTTTACTTCTTAGTCACTCGTCACAATTCATACTTTTTATTTTCTTCCTGTCGTTGCTTTCTTTTCGAATTTCTTTGTTCCGCACGAATATTTCTAACACTCATACTTCACCATTCTTTTGTGTTTTAATTTTGTCTTATCGCTTTAAGTCCCCAACCAAGCCGTCTGGGTACATAGATGGTAATCATCGCATGACGTGACGTAAAATTGTAATCTCATGCTTCTTTCTTCGATGTTTAATGCTATAACTTCTTAATCTAAACATTAAGCATTAAAAAATTTCTATCGTAGTAAAAACTTTACTTCTAAAATATGTTGAACTTTCTTATATTTTTACGTGTTATTGCGTAAAAGTCCTCAATATTTATATAATTTAGTAAATTCGCTGATGGAATACCGCTTTTGAACTTCACTTTAAACATGAAGTTGACTATCAGTCTATCATATTTTTTATCTTGAATATACAATATCGAAACCATAATGAATATTTTTGTAGGGTAATTATAATTGACAACAAAATTAGTCGAATTGTTACCTATAACTGCGGTGAACTTCAATAACCTCGTATTAGTACTTATGGAATTGTAATTGTTGCTTTTTTTACTTCCTTAATGTTATGTAATTTTATCGGCGTTATGGCAGGCTCTGATATGTAGTGCGATTGCAATCAGTTTGTCGTTCCACTTTGTTTAGCTTCCTGATTTTCTCGTTGTTGATGATGTCTGTCGATCTTATCACCAAATTGCAAAACTTTTTCGAGAAATAACGGCATTAGTAATTTACATTTGGTATGATAATAATATTTTTGGGCGCAAGCATTTCGTATTATTTTCTAATTCAGTTTACATTAAGTGTACTTTTTCGTGAAGTTTAAGTATAGGTACACACTTTGTATGTGTGTTATCGTTGACTGAACGAGTCAAGGTATCACTTTTATTTTTCACCCCTTCTAGTAGAAAACTGTTAAAAAAACCGCAGTTATGAGTATTTCTTAAACTTTGCGGTTAATATGGAAAAGTCGAAGTGAATTATAATTATGCACCTACGTTTGCGGTGGGAGGCTATCGTGCAATGCAGAAAATCCTATAGATCTACAAAGTGTTACAAACATAACATGCAATACCAAAATTCATTCAATAAATGGGAGTATTATCTAAGAATATAATGGATCAACTGCTTATAAATAATATATGGCTAATTATAATTATTTTACTTATTTGATTGAAACGCTCAGTATATCTTTGTGTGAGCAGCAGTAATATAAGTAATTGTTGGTGGAGAATGAGGCCGGCCGTTACCTTATCGACCCACTATTCAGCAGACATGGAGAAGGAAAAGTCCTGCGGAAAACCACCAACCACAAAGGTCTTAAAGTACTTGCACTCTCCACTCTTAATCTTTACATATAATAAAATATAAGTAACTAAATAAAAAGTCACAAAAAAGAAACACAAGGGGGACCTGCAGATTGTTTTTGGATGACGGAATAAATTAAAAATTAGTTTACAATGATGTCTTTAAAAATTAAAAATCACTCTTTTCACATTTTTATTATAGTAAAATTTCATTAATAAAAGAAATTTTATCGTAAATATTGAGGTATTAATTCGTAATGTTCATATTGTCAGTACGACAATAAGTAAGAATGAAACGGTGGAACTGAATGTACAAAACGTTCGATTCGTGCATCTCATTAAATTTGCAGCAATGTGATTCACCCCCAGATACCATATACCTACTACTCACCTTTATTAATAGCAAATAGTTTTGGCAGGACTATTTTCATCGTGATACTATAAAAAAAATGTAAAAGCGTTGCCCTACGTGTTAACGATTATAGGGACTTCCTAAGAATACTTACGGACGCAAAATTAAGTTTCATGATTAACACGTAAAGCAATATACACGTACGTTGAACTTCAGGAAAGTGTCTTTTACCTCTACAAATAATTAATATAAGTTTACCGAGAGTTGAAAATTTTTTCAGATAATTAGATTCTAAACTTCAAGTAAGCGATTCCATATTATGGCCGACATTTTATAGATACTAAAATCAATTTGAAAGGTTTTATGACTAAACAATTTATACATAGGTATATTGAAATAGTATATTAAATATCAAATGGCTAAACGGGATTATTCACGAGACTTCGTATGACCGAACGTAGCAAGCGTTTAATTATTCGAGTGTTTAACAACGCTATTTTTTCTACTGCCAGTGTAAGATTATAAATGCCGTGTCGCGCCGACACGAGTAGCAGCAGTGCCTGCTACTTTCAAGCTCTGCCCCGTAGTTAATGCTCGTAGATAATGTATTTTACTCGCGCTTTTGGTCGTCCGTATATAAAGTACTTTTTTGTGTCTAAAACCCGTAGAAAAACTGGCGCTTTAAAGGTGGAAGTAGAAAAAATATTATTGTTGCTTTACACTAACTTAAAAGTAATAATGCGGAATAGATGGCAAGAGATATGTAATTAAGTAAATTATTTCACGATTAACAATCAGTTCTGATGACGGTCGTTCAGAGTGTACTGTGACGATCTGCCGGAAATGGCTTTCACTCGGTTTGCGCGCGCCAGCGGCCGCCATGTTGTTTCCGGCCGGCCGGCACCCAGCCGCGACGCATCACCTCCGATCGCCTTTTGTTTGCTACCTCACTCAACAAAAACCACAGCAAACAACAATGAGCAAAATAAAAATAAAAACGCAACAGACGCACAAATAACCAACAGCAACAACTAAAAAATACATTTTCTAACTTTTTTATTGTTTTGTGATGAATAAGCGCACAAAGAGCAAAGAATACAGCGCAAACTGGATTATGCAAGACTATTCATCAAATCATACACTTCTTACACCTACACACGTAATTTTGCTTGTATTGGGCGTCAATTGAAGCATATTTGCTTTCATGAACTATAATTAAAACTTCATAGATCATTAAGATCCTATACATCGCAAAAAATGACATCATAAGATAATACAATAACAGCTTTTGTTTCCTTTATACAAAAGTATAAAATTACATTTTTTGCAGATAATTCAAGTTTTATGTATCGTCTGGCTTTCCATTGGCGGAAGTCTGCAACAACAAGAATGCTCCAAATTAGAATACGATAGATGTGTCCAAATTGCTGATCCTTTGGTACGAGAAGCACACCTCGTCTTCCCTGACAATATGGACGACATTGATCTGGTATGCCGCACATGGAATCAATTTGTTGATTGTCTCAAGAGTTATACAGAGCGTTGCTTTACTGATCAACAAAGAAGACAGTTCAACAAAGCCGTGGAAAATCCCATTGAGAGCGTTCATCAGATGTGTATGCAACCACAATATCAAAAAGGTATTTACATTAATAACACCATTTTGAAATTTTGATTTTATGAGACCTTTTTTGTTTCCTTTAGAATATCTGCAATATGCGCCATGCATTAAAGGAACAATCATCGATAAGAATAGATGTGGACCCCATTATAGTCTCTTGGTAGATCAAGTGGCTCAAGGAGAGATTATCTCTAAAGCCACTCTTTGCTGGTAATTTTAGAAATATTTTAAAACACAATATTCGTATTTATAATAAAATGTTATTAGTTCTCATGACAGATTTAAGCAATGCGTATACCGAGAAACTCGTAATCTTTGCGACCGAGGAGCTCAAGATGGTCCAGCAGCAGTTTTCTCCGCGCAAATATTGGAAAAGGCATTGAGTTTTCTTCAAGAACAATGTTTTAATTACATGTAATTATCTATTAATACTTTGATAATGAGTGTCAATGTTTTATTATTAATTGATGTTTCATAGACCCAATTCTGGAGACTGTACGACGGTAAATTCTGATATGTCAATATTCCCCGACCGCTCTGCTCCTAAATCAACTGCACCCAGCGAGGTGTACCCTTGGAGTACAGTGAGCAATCAACAAGAGAACAACATCATCTCTGGAAAAGAAGTACCGCCTCCACGGATTGCCACGCCCAAACAGGTGCAACCTCAACAAGGGTCCCGGCCGGTCTCGTGGATGCCATCTTCTTCGGCTAGCAGTTTTCCAGAAAATACAAACACGTATCAAACAGTAGGTTTAAATTGGAAATTCGTTAAATATGGAGTAGATTAATATGTTTTAATACCGTTTCAGGATTCTTCCACGCAAATTCTTGGATCACGTACACGTCCAGCAAGTTATGGTCGTTCCAGTAGCTGGTCAGAAGGCAGTGGTTCGGTTGGTAGCAATACTGTGCAACCATACAGCCCGAGTCAGACGCCGCCTACTCCTTCATCACCACGCCCTGAATGGACGACTTCATCTTGGAATGTACACAAACCTAATGGTAATTTGAATATTATCACTAACCATAGTCTAACTGATTGTTTTAATATTAATTTAGTAATGGAAACAACCGCAAGTCCAGAACAACCAACAATTTTCGCAACACATCATGGAACAGAAACATGGTATCCTGCGGCAGGCAACCAACTTAGCAACGAGGTAGATGAGCCCAACCAACAAGGCCTAAAGTATAACAAAAACAATAACTCCGCCTGGTCCATATCCTCAGGAGGATTCTTTGATGTCACACAAATAGCATCCTTGCTTTTAACAATCATAGTCAATAACCGAGCATAATTATTTTAACATCATCAATAATTTATGAACTATTGTATTATTGTTATTTATCAAAACTAATATATCTCTATAAATGTGCACTAGTCATAAAGATCAAAGATATTTAGAAATGTAATTTACCAATAAACAAAATCTAATTAAGATATAAGATATTCGACGATTGTAAACCCACAAATACCAGTTAAACTGTTTTTTCAATTTAATCAATTATATTCAAGACATTATTAGCATCAAATAACATTTAAAATTTTAAATGTAACAAAGTCACAATCATTCAAATATGACAGGAAACTCGCAAGACTCATAATAATTGGAAACATTTCAATTCACGAGTGAGTTGTACATTTTCTTCAACCACTCACCATGCTCCGTGATAAATGTAATCAACGTAACACAGCTGATTACATTACAGAAATTAAATTAAAACTGCAGTCCCATCCGCCTTCGATTGTAAAATGGATTTATCGGACTCGGCATCGCGTTCGCCTTGATCACGGGCTTCGTCGGCTTCTTGCTGGCATCAAAGGGAATACCAGGTGAAGACTTAATCTGTGCATGATGTTCATGTACTTCTTGTGATTGATTCAGACGCAAATCAATTTTCACCTTCTTGTTACTCTTCGGAGTATTTACAGATGAATTTCTTAGCATTATTTGGGCATCCGCCGATTTCCTCCTGTCCTTTCCCTTGATAATCGAAAACGACTTATCAACTAAATCGGCTGGAGCACCCATAGACTTCCTCTTCGCAATATATTTCTTACTAGGAACGAAAAGCTCCACTTCACCATCTTGTAAATCAGTATCCCAATCAGATGCCGCAAATAGTTTATTTGTTGTTGGTGGGGAAATTTTCAATGGAGTTGAAGTCATTTTTTGTTTTGTACTTGATTGCGTTGAAATGGCAGTTTCTGGTTTAGGAGATTTCGGGGACTTTTTGGGACTTGATTCAACAAAAGAATTTCTTCGTTTGGGAGAAACTTCAGTATTTTTAGGACTTGTACCATTCGTCATCATACCGTTTGTTTTTTGCGGCGAGTCCAGTTCATAATCACTCTCACTCTCAGGTTCGGTCACAAACCAAGTTCCTGAATTCCTAACAAACAAGTCATCTGATTCTAATTGCTTCTGATGAGCTTCGTGAGACTCCGAGCGTTTTATTGCAGCTTTTTTCTGCTTAATGCTCTGCTTAAGTAGTTTTCTTTCTCTCATTGCTACTTTCAACTTCATTTTTGCCTCTTGTAGCTTTGATGATCCATCTAGTGCACCTCTAATACCAGAAGATTTAAATGATTGTTTGGAGTCAGTTGTTTGTGTACCAATTCCGTTTAAACTTTTTTTCGAGACTTTTTCAGTCAATGTTGATTTTTTAATTTTCTCATTTTTCTTTTGCTTTTTCACTTGTAGTGTTTGATTGATTGATTGTTTGTCTAATTTAGGTTTCTTCATAACTGGAACTTCTTGATCTCCAAGATCATCATCATCACCATCACAATCTGTAATATTTCTCTTCTTTGCTTTTTTCGCTTTATTGCGTCCATAAAGTTGATTTTCAAATTTAACTAGCTTATTAGCCATTTTCTTGATGTTTGTGGAACCATCGTCTTCATATAGATCAACTTTTTTAATTCCAAGAGGGTATTCACCACCCGAGAGCATAGAGAATTCATGAATAAGCTTTTTAATAGCTGATCTTGCCTTAGTATTTGAAGCTTTGAACTTGTACTCATTCATTAATGAATTGATATTTTTACAACTGAAACTCAATTGAGGAAGAACAACATTGACACGTCCAGCACGCGGATCCAAACCAGTTAATTCCTCTTCTTCCGATTCATCATCATGGTCATCTTCGTCCTTACCAGAATCGTCTTCGTCATCATTATCATCGTCGTCATTACTTTCCATATTGCTATCGGCATCCTCTTCATCACTGCCTGCCCTCTGCATAGCATCAATATTTCCGCCGGGAAATCCGAGCTTCTTCCACGCTTCAAATTTTTCTTCATGTTCCATTGCAGCATTTGATTGCTTCATCAAATACCGAAATACGCCATCACTGATTGCATTTACTATCCGTATATCATTGCAGTTAGAAAGTGCCTTCACAAATGGTTGAAGAAATTCGTTCATAATGTTGGGATTGAGTTGGCCCTCACTCATCTTGGCCAACTCTGGCATATAGATATCACAGAAATGCATCATTAGGCTTAACGGCACGCTTCTTTCCGAATTTAAGATCGACTCGTCAAGCGAAGACGCAAAGAGTTTGATCAACTTTAATTCAAAGTTATTGTTTCTCAAAAGAACAAATGCTTGACGAAGCAGACGACGCACGAACTGAAAATAAAGTAAAATAAATTAACGACATATATAATGAGTAAAATATTTGCAAACAATGATCACCTACAGCACTACCTCCCAACATTAATATTTAAATCGTTGCAAATTTATTATTAAAGAAAAATAAATTTGCTGTGTTATAACAGAGTTGCTTTTAAACACTTGTATAATTTTAAAAGCAATACAAAAACGTCGTTTTTCGGATGCAAAAAAACCGCCCTTAATAAAATACACATATTTACCATTTGAAATTTATCACTTCTCCATTGATCAATTCCAAACCATTCATTAGCAAGTGTTTTCATTCCTGCTTTGAAGAATAAAAAGCCTGTTGATGTGTCAAGGCTGTGAATTAGAGATGCAATCCTGTCAGCACATTCTTCCTACAAAAATTAATTAACATTTTTATTATATAATTGGGAGTTTATTTGTAAACTGCTACCTGTATGAGTGGTTTATCTGACATCCACATGGAATAGAACAACCCCTTCCATACTAACATCAAGTCTGAATCACTGAATGCTAAAACAATCAATTGAAAATCATCATATACAAATCAATAAAAACAAAATTACTACTACCAAGCAATCCCAACCCTGCAGTATGCATTTAACTGCTTAAAAACGTTTTTGAAAATTGAATTTTTAGGTTACTTACGAATCTGGGACCTGCATCGTTGCTCAAACCACTTCTTTAAACTCTTAATAGCTTTATCGCGAATCACTTTATCATTACCCGCTAAGAAACGAGCATATTTGATGTCCTGTGCGGTGGCAACTACCTCTTTCGTCGTTTTGCCTTTATGGTGTTTCTTTGTAAGTTGCATGTTAGCTATTTTGCCTTCTATCGCACGCACGCAAACACTTGGCGCACGATGCGTGAAACTGCACGTGTGTGTACTTTGCCCACCATAAACGTCAAAAATTAAATGTGCTGCCACCCGGCAAATAAAAAGTTCCTAGTATAACAATGAATGGCCAACCTAAAAACTTAAGCCACTGTAAGTTACTACATAAGAAAAGTCACTAGATATTGCCAACGTAACTTCACGTATGGCCAAAGTAACTAAATTATTATGCATAGATAACAATACAATATGTCCGTGAATAACATCAAAATCATCTCATCAGATATGGAGCATTTCTTGTTCGGGGAACGAATGGAATCGCACGAACAAGTTGAGGATGGTATATAGGCAGTATTTGTCTTGGAGGAGGGTATGAAGGTCTATGAACTGGAAAAGATGGTCTTGGAGCAAAATAAGTGGGCCTTGGAGCAGAATAGTTAGGTCTTGGAGCAGGGTACGGACGTCTTCCAATGCGATAAATACGAATCCTAATTAAGAATAATAGTTATAATTTATATTTCAGTATAAAAAACAAAAGATAAAATTTGAGGACTTACACTTGCGGTTTAGGTTGCTGCTTTCGAAAACGTTTGGCAAGCTCTTTCTGTAAAACTTGTTGATCTTGCTGAGAAGCTTTGGTGATTTCCTCCATCACTTGGTGATTATATGTTGAATGCAACATGAGCGCCAATACTCCAGCTCGGTTTGTCATTGTTTGACGAATTTGTCGCTCTTTTTCTAACAATTCATCGAGTTTCAACCACTGCCTAACTCTTTCCAAGTCAATCTGAAAAATTAAAATACATATTTGCAATACTGTTAATGTATGTTGAATGCCTTATTAATTGCAATCCACACAAACTTAATAAGCATAAGCATAAGACTAAGTTTTATCGATAGAAAGTAACACACCTCTGCCCTGCGCAATTTTTCCCAAACATAATGCTTCAAACAAGACTTCTTCGGTGCCCTGCAAAAATCCCCCGTAGCATCGAAAACATTCGTTACCAATGGGCAACCGCACACCTCATCATCTCCGATTTTCGGATCCTTGCAGTGCTCAGGACACAACACTCTTAGTCTTTTACAATAGGTGCTATTCACCGGATTGAAGAAGTCGCAAAACATCACGTTGCCCTCAATACGCGTCTTGTAAATACTTCCAAAACTCGACTGAGACTCGTACTTATTGAAGCACTTCTCCATGTGTTTAATTGCAGTCCGACTATGAATTTCATGACCGCACGTAATGCAGTACATTGACATTTCCGTCTCGTCTTCAGCATCACCTTCAGCATTTGGATCTATAACGGCGTGTCTCGCTCGTTCGACAATTGCGTCAAGTTCATTATGTCGCTTATCAAGTTCTTGTAGAATTTTTTTAACTTCAAGTTGATTTTTGCGAACAGATTCAAGCGCTTTGATGTTGATATCCTCAGCCACGCAAGGGGACAGGGCCCATTCTTGAATCCGCTGTGGAAGCACTTGATAAATACGGTTTGTAGCCAAGCGTGTGCCGCAAACGTCCGAACAATATTTTGATCCTTGACGGGCTTTATTGACACACTCGGGTCCGTAGCACTGACGAGCTTCGGCAGTCTGCAGGTGAGCGGTAGACGATACTTCACGATCCGAGCTGGAGTCGCGACGTTTTCTTCTACTGCGACTTTCTTGAATACTAAAATTAATACAAAATCATGTGATTAAAATGTGTAATATGAATGTAAATTGAATTATTACGTACCCCCCATAATTGATGCAAATCCTTTGTTTACATCTCTCCTTGTGCTTCCCACTGTGCCTTTTACTTTGCTTGATGCATACATCGCATTTCCCGCAATCTACGGTACGCAGACATCCCATGCAATCCCCGCACTTCTTTAACTTTTTATCAACCTTTTGCTCATTCCGTTCTTTACGCTTTTTGGACTTTGGATCCTCTATACCTTCTGCCGGTTTAATCGTTTCGTCCTTCTTTGCTCTCCATCGAGTTTTTAAAGAATTATCTTCTTCAGTGCACCGCATACAAAAATATTGCCGGATAAGCTTTGCCTCCTTCTCAGATATATTGATGCAATCTCCATGGTACCATTCCTCACAGGCATCACATGCTATCATGAAACGGGAAGAATCAGATGATCGGCAGATGCAATACGCTTGTCCATCTTGCTTCATAAGTGTGTCAATTTTTGATTGTCGTTCCGGAAGAAGAAACTGCTTGGCAATTTCTTCCCTCTAAACACATGCAAATTTAAATTTAAAATAACGCCAAAACAGACTTCTTTTTGAGGTTAAATCATTGTAATAATACGTACCGATTTATCTCGTTCTCTACGCGACATTTTCACAATAAATGATCTGGAAACTCTATAAATAAATCGAATTTTTCAGCAGATGCTTTATATGATAGGTTTTAACAAATATTCAAATTTTACGTGAAAAACGTCCGACAACCAAACATCAACCACTTTTGTTTTGATTACTTACGCCGAACGCGCCGAACAGCCAGGGGACCTTTATGTCAGCAATATGAGTTGGCAATACTGTTGAAAACAAATTCAATATACCGAGTGTCTAAAAGTTTTGTAACTTTTCCATCTTCTACATTTTCAAATATATTCATATAGAAATTGAAGATTTATGAAATTACACGCTTGCAATTTTAGTAATGCTGTAGTCAACAACATGGATTATGACTTAAATGTTATCAGGACGGTCAGAAGTGCCTCGTGCTAATTCCCAACGATACTTGTATTTATGCAACATTGGTGGACTACACTTGTCGGTGCTTTTGAAGTTACTTATGTTTCGAAAGCAAAACTATTAACCCTGACATCTTACTGCATGCGATTTACGAATGAAAAGTATTTTAACCTCATGTGATAACAGCAATCGTCGCCGGCAGCAATGCAATTATTGGTTTTGTATTTATCATATTTATTTACGCCTGATTATTTGTCATATTTTAAATTGAACGGCGTGTCTGATTCTGTGCCACTGATTATGCCATGAATTTGCCGTTGCCGGGGCAACTTAATATCAAATTCTTCCTAGGCAATAAGCTTCTCAACTATTCTAAGTTTTAAGTTAATTTGAAGAAGTCTTCTAAGATGTGTAATACAACAAATTAGCTTACAACAAAAAATATTTAAGAGTTGAATCATCATATGATATTATGAATAACATACGTGAGTTTATAATATACTCACTACTCAGCAAACATTTCAGACATGACTCATGTTTACGCAAGTCCAACGTCACGTAGCTGACAACAAAGAACCGTCTTACGTGTGTTAATCAATAAATAATCAATGAATATTTGAATCATTATCAGCAGCTACCTTAATGATGTTGATATATACACACGTAAAATTGCATATTGTTACTCCCACCTATGTGCTTGCACAGTTTTAGTCAAATATTACAAAGATTTCATTCATTGAACGCGTGATTCAACGCAATACTTCTTGTTATGTATTTCTTGTCACTCATTCAGGTGCGTTCCGTGTTTCCACTTTTTTGCCCACCAACATCTTTACTCCCCCGCCACCGCCCTTCCAATTTTGACTCATTCGCGGATGCCGCTGACTAACCAACGCGCCGAGTGCTCGAATGCACACGGATCTACTTATCAGTCGAAAACTGGAAAGTTTACTTGAGTTGAGTGGTTCTGATAAGCGTTTAATAATAGTCTCACGGAAGGTTTTGGGCGTTGTACATCTAGAATTCCAGTCATTCTCAAGCACGTAAATTAACTAACAACATAATTGTGAATTCGGCAAACAAAGCAGTAATCGGAACGAAGTCCATACAGCTCAAAAAAAGTGAATAACCTCTTCATAACTACCGAACTACAACTGTTTTTCATTGTTTTGTTGTAATATATAATTAATTAAGTGAACCTTTAAATTTAAGTGATGGATTTAAATGAGCTGGATAAACAGCTCGCCGAGCTTCAGCTCATCGCAAACGGCGAGCTGAAGAATTCTATGGGGGCCAACAAAAAGATCGGACCTGCTGTACCACCAAAACCGAAAAAACAACAACCATTAGTAAGTTTATTATTAAAAACGAAAAAACCGTGTATGCATAACCCTGATATTTTAAGGTACCACAATCATATTCTTTAAAAAAGCAAACTGAGCCATTATATGCATCCAGATTGCAAACTGCTGTGCCCCAGCAAGCACAGATGTACTCCAACCTGCCACCTTCTGGCCCACCACCAGGTTCTGCTAACTCAGCCTCACAAAATATGTATGCCAATCTACCAAGAGCATCACCACAGCCAAATAGCTATATATATACACCTCAAGGATATACTAAACCACCAGAGAATACTTATAGTAATGTTCAGAGGAATGCTGATGGGCTGATATATAGTAATCTTATGCATCCACAACCTGGGAATATAGGGAATACTGTCTACAGTAATGTTCCAAATAATGCAGTTTATGCTAATGGAGGTAAGTGGAATTGTTTTAAAATGGTTTGTAACTATTAATTGTTCTAATCTTAGTTATACATTCTTATACATTTTATTCACACATATTTCATTTTTTGGAAACACTTGAGTTACTTAAATCAATTTATCTTCACTTCTTACCCACTTAATGTAAATCTCTAATGTAATTTGAACAAAGACACTCAGTGAAACTTGGCAGCTGACTCTTACAAAGTCAGTAGCCTCTAATAGACTTGCTTGCAGAGGGAAGCTTGAAAGACTTTCAAATATGGGTCTTTCATATGATATTAATTGAGTGTTCCAATACCATTACTTTGGAATATTGTAGTTCTGTTTGCATATAGTGACATTTTAATGGCTTGGATCTGATTTTTTTTAATTTTTGTTATTATCTGTTGCTTTGGCTTTGGATGGTTATGATTTATTTTCTTTTCGTTTGAATGTTTTGTAGATGATTTGCCACCTCCACCTCCACCTGTACCAATGTTACCACCCCTTTCAGTGCCATTTACAGTAAATACGAATTTTCCACCCCCGCCGGACGAGTTGCCACCGCCGCCGTCTCCAGTCAGCTCTAGTTACAGCGAGTTAAGACGCGCGACAGAACCTGGGCCGGGGGATTATAATAATTATATGGGATCGCAAGTAAGCAGTGCATTTAAAAAGTGTTATGGTTGCAAATTTATGATTGAATTTGTTGTAGTCATCGACATATGAGTCGATTTATGAACCGATTAATCCACGTCCGCCGAGCCAGATGTCCTCGCGTAGCAATTATTCTCTGTATGCGCCTTACGTGAGCGGTGGCAGTACAATGTCGGGCCCCAGTCAGTCTGCAAGTCGCGCAGGCGGCAATGAGCAGGTGGTGGACACGCTCACCGACCTTCTGGTACAGGGCATGGACAACGAGGTCGAAAATGGTGATTGCTTTGGCGTGTGCGCCAAGTGCAAGGAGAGCGTTGTGGGCGTCAGCAGTGGCTGCACTGCAATGGATCAGATCTGGCATACTGCTTGCTTTGCCTGTCATCATTGCGCTATAAACTTACAAGGAAAACCATTTTACTGCATGGATGGGAAGCCATACTGTGAAGATGACTATTTAGTAAGTACAAGTGTTGTAGTTATGTAGTAGTTATTCATATAAATACCCCCGTTTGTTAGTATGGGAATAATTTAATACATCAGCTGAAAATAATTTATTGGAGATCAAACATAAAGGTGTAGATAAATAGGTGTGTGTCACTATACGTGGTAACAACGAATTGCAAATTGACACACTTTATCTAGTCGTAACCAATCTGTAGTTAATTTATTATTCTGTTGGTGTTTTTGTAGAATACCCTAGAAAAGTGCTGCGTCTGTACGAAACCAATCCTCGATAGGATTCTCCGTGCCACTGGGAAACCCTACCACCCCATGTGTTTCAAATGCGTAATTTGCGGTAAAAGTTTGGACGGAATACCCTTCACAGTCGATGCCACCAACCAGATACACTGCATCGAAGATTTTCACAAGTGAGTAAACAAGTAAAACAACCGATTTTTTCCAATATTAATAATTTTTTGTAGGAAATTTGCGCCAAGATGTTGCGTTTGTAAGTTGCCAATAATGCCGGAGCCAAATCGAGATGAAACAGTTCGCGTCGTGGCATTGGACCGTAGTTTTCATATAAACTGCTACAAGTGCGAAGACTGTGGTCTTGTTCTTTCCAGCGAGTCGGAAGGCCGCGGCTGTTATCCGCTCGACGATCACGTGTTGTGCAAGTCCTGTAACGCCAAACGTGTTCAACAGCTAACTAATCACATGACTACCGAATTGTAAGTCGTTACTGTCAGCAATTCCAGTTATGTTTTAATTTGTAAAGTTTACTTTTTTACAAAGCCTAGAAAGTTTCTTGCTTCTTCTATTCGTAATTTAAATTATAAATGATAATCATTACCAAATGTAATAGTTACATTCCAATCAGTCGAAACGCAAATTTCTTAGCGTACTAGTGCACACAATTATTAATATATTAATAACATGGTAATGAAACGAAATAGCTGACTCTGATATGATAACAATGTCAGTTCGCTCAAAACTATTATTCGTCAACTAAGCATACACTTGCAATTCATATTTAAACTTGTAAATGCAAAGTTAAATAAAACTAGTGCGAATGCAACTATCAGTGCATAAATGGTGTCTAAATATATCTAAAATGAATAATGCTGTAGTAAAATGTCAAGTGTTCTAGCGCAGAAAGTTTGGCAAAAAAGGTAGAGCAGGAAATAGAATAAAACTAAAACAATCCCTGTTTTTATACATATTTACGTAATTGAAGCTATGAATCTGGATGTGCCAATATATTATGTGATTTTTTCTATTCTATTTTGTATTTTATTGATTTTGATTACGTTTTTATTAAGTATTATTGTTATATCTTATGTGAATTTTGAATAAACGATTTACACTTGGTGCGATGCAAAATTGCCTTTTCTTTAACTATTTCCGAGATTAAAAATAGAATGCGAGCCCAATGGGTTTATACTTAGCACGAAACTTTGGTACCCATTTTCATGGTGATCAATATGTAAACACATACTCGAGAAACAAAGATACTTTCAACTTTCGGTCTTTCTTTTTGTTTTCCTACCCAGTCCGAATGTTTGCAATCGTCAAAGCTAACTTTATTTTATGTACTGATGTTCTAAATAATTCGGGTGTGTCCGTGTGCGCAGTTATGACTGTGGGCAGTTGTCTTGTGAGCAGTTGTCGTGTGAGCGATCGTCTTATGGGCAAATGTCCGGGAACCTTGAGAACCATACTCTTAAGTTGTTGAGCCAAGACATTCCCTCTTCATATGCTTCCATTTCCATGTATCTTACTTTGAAAAATGTTATGCAATATCTGGTATCTGCTATTGTGCCTCATATTATGACCAAGATATTATAGCTTTCTGGTGTTTAGAGATATTAGAACCCCTTTTTCCGTTTGCATTCTGTTAAGTATTTCTCTATTCGTTATCCTGTCTGTCCACCTGTCCAATTAAAGAACTAAACCTGAACTCATGAAGTCCAGAACTATTAAGTACCAATTACTCAATGGCTTGCAATAAATACATCCGATTGCCAACTTTGATAAATTTTATTATTATGATGTGGTATCTTGTTTAATTATAATGTTATTATATTATTAAATAACTTCACTACCATTGAATGTTGTTACGTTTCTAGTTACGCTATGCACGTTCCGATGTCGTCGCAATTCGTAAATCGTAAACTACGAACTTGCCCGGTTAAGAATTGCACATGTACAATGTCGCATAAATGAAACGGATTTGTTTTTGTTAAGTGTTTGCGTTAATTGTTGTATCTAAGCGCCGAAATATGATGTATTCGACGTTGCGTTATGCCTAGCAAGAAGGCTGGTATAAAACCCCGGCGGTGTAGACTGGAAAATCAATTCACTGCGTGGTTCTCTCATCGTTCGGCAGCATGAATCCGAAGATCGTCTTTGCCTTTGCTTTATTGGCCATTGCCCACCAGGTAAGTCGCCAAAATTTTAATTGACAATTTTTTTATTAAAATAAAAAATCATATATTAAAATAATTTTTAACTTTTTGTTAAAACCTTTCTCGATGCAACATAAATAATAAATATTAATTTTTGTGTTTAGGCCAAATCCGCATGTTTATGTGGACCTTTCGGTGAAGGCAAAGACCTCTGCTCGACATCTTCTTCGGGTAAATGCAGTCCGTTAGTGATTCGCCCAGCTCAGCTGCCGAAGATCAATGTTGAGACCTACTCTAAACCACGTGTAGTGTGCCAAACCATCGGCGGCGGTGTCTCAAACCCTTTCAAACCTTTGGGTGACCTGTGTTCTTGCAAACAATCAATTGTTATACCTGCCATCGTACCGCGCCCGGTCTGCGCTTGCTCGTCATCATCAAGCTCTTCTTCTTCAAGCTCATCTTCGAACTCCAACTCGCAATCATCTTCTGGTTGTGGTGGGGCTATCTATGTAGGATCTGGCTCAAACTCTGGTTCTTCTGTTGCTGGTGACTACAACACCGCCTACGTCGTTGAGGAAACCGGCCCAACCGCCGCCGCCGTTGACCCTGTTTCCCTTGCTCTTGCCTACAAAGAACAAAACCGCGCTTGTGGTGTATCCGAAGGCCGTCTGGCATACGGTTTCCGCAAACTCCCCGTCGATGTTGTTGATGAGCGTGCAAAGGTTGAAGAAATCAACGAACAAGGTCTGCATGCCTGCAATGGACAAATTGTTGAATTGAAAAAGATCGGCTGCGGACGTGTAAGCAATCCTGATGATGAAGCTTTGGCCGAAATTGAAGCCTTGGAGGTTGATGATTTCGAACAGGAAGCCGCTAACACGGGCGCTCATGGAATCAAGAGCTTGAGGTACAAGGATGTTGGATTTGGAATCGCTAACGTAAAGAAGACTCCATTCAGACAGATCATGGGTGTTGTTGAGGTCAACCCTACTCCAGTTGAGGAACCCATCACTAAGTGCAATGACGGATATAGGCCAGGCAATGTAATCTTTAAGAACACCCCACAAGTCGAGACCTACTCCACAGGCCCTGGAGTTCCAGCAGATTGTGGTGAGTCCGCCGAAGACTACCGCCCATACTTCAAATACTCTACTTCTTCCTCGTCCTCGTCGTCCAGCAGCAACAGCAACTGCAACAAATGCGCTCACAGCAGAGTATACTATTAAATCTAATTAGTTATGCTTTTGCAACATCAAGCAAAAATAAATTCAAGGAATCACTTTCACTTCCAGTACATTCAAAAATTTGAAGAAATTTGATACAAAATTGTAAAACATTTAATTTACTTAAAAGAATCTGTGATATTAATTTCAAATGGTAGCCATTTTTATGTTATGTAAATTCAACAAAATTATATTTATAATTTTAGTTTCAGTTGGTATTAAAATTGATTTTTGGAAAACTGCAAATGAGTAGATAAAAAAACATTGTAAAAGTCTGATTATCTCATTGAGAAAAATGTTTGAATTCACAAAAATATATTTGTCCAAATTATATAAAGTGCATTATTACCATATTACATATTTAATCATTTTTAAATTTCATCAATCGTATTAATAGTAAAACCAAATATTTCCACCTTTTATTTGCAGTGTTTATTCAATTTCTATAGGCATTCGTTATAATGACACACTCTATGTAACACTAAAATTTGTACAATTTACGTACAATTGCTTTTCAAAGAATATGCAGAGGAAATTAAATAAACGCCCAAAAGCCACAATACCTGTAGTGGGAGGAATAAGATGGCGTAGGGACAATTAAACTTCAGGACAGCTGCAAAACCCGTATTATTATTGGAATCATCACAGGGTGGTCCAAACACAGTGATCCGAGGATGGTGCGAGAAAAAGGAATAGACTTCAAAATACTTAAGAATACTTGGGTTGTGGTGATAATATTGTGCAACATTTTTAACTATTTGCACTGAGTTTGTTGATCAGGACTGTCCTGGCGATGCCCTCACCGGCGAAACAATTGTCGATTCATCAATGCTTGTGGTTAGAAACTATAAGACCTGACCCCAAACAATTAAAGGATATTTCTGCATCCTTGTTGAAAACGAAGGGGATTGAATTTTTATATATTCAATATAGATCTTGAAGCAAGCAGTAAATTGTACATTATACTTATTTGTTATAATTATAAATAATGCGGCCCAATATATTTTACAAGTTTAAGAATATGACCAAAAGCATTTCCCAGCCAATTCTGGATGGAAAACAGGTTAATATTAGGGTCCGACCGAAACTGTTTTTTAGCCGAAACGGAAACCGAAATTTCGACTCTGGCCTCAGTTTCGGCCGAAACCGAAACTGTAATTTACATAAAATATGTTTAATTTAAGATTCAAGATTTAACGATTTAAAATGCATAAAAATTATTTACAACAGTATTAAGCAATAAAGTGAAGTAATTGAAGATTGATTGAAATTTTTGCTTTTGGGAATTTTTTGAACATATGCTTGATTGAGGATTCCCTCAAACCACTATCGTGTGTCACTTTAAAATAATACTAGAATAAAATTCACGAACACTGAGTTTCGATACTGCCGAAAGTTTCGGCCAATTTTTCCACCAAAGAAGAAGATGTGGCTAAGCAGGAGTTCTTGTCACGTTTAGCCACGTGATGCTTACATTACTACTTATTATCTAGTTTCACTCTTTTTCCACGTTTCAGTTTTTGTACTTGAACTTTTGTATTTTAAATCTTCGAAATTCGGTCATACAGTACTGAGAAATGAAAGGATATAAATATGCCGCGCGCCGGGCCATGTCGCGCCGTGCCGACAATACTTTAATCACGTCCTTGGTCGTCCGTGTTTAAAGTACCATTTTTTGAATCTCAAAACTGTGGATCATTTATATCCTTACATTTCAAGATTTAAATAATAGCGCTTTAAAGGTGGAAGTACAAAAATTTAATTAATTGTGTACTTTACAGCTTGTAAATGTAAGCGTAAATATTAAGCATTCCTTGAATGCGTACTCTTGAACTTGAGTTACTTTCCATTGCAGTGGGCGTTTCGCTCGAGTTATGTTTAGCTTGGAGTAAAACATTGTGAATGAATTGTAAACACTGGGCGTAAGTGCGCCAGTTTACAAAAGCATGCGCAATTTACAAAACACTCGTTACAACATTTATCAACATAAGCATGACTAACTTGAAATTGGACATTGTTACACGGCAAATTGTGTAGTACATGATAAGCAATGGCGTCGGATTGTATAAATAAATGTGTACACGTACCTATATTACTAAAAGGAGCAGACAACTGCAAGTATGCAAAATTTTGAAAACTCTAGGTTTGCAAATTTCTATTGTATAACTCATACATCAATAATAATAATAATAATTTTTACTATTAATTAGTAAGCTTTTTATATTGTCAAAAAACAGATTTATTAAAATTTCAAATTTGTACAACTCGTAATTCATGCTTCAATAATAATAATAACACAATTTAGACGCACGCACAGCAAGGATTGATTTTTTTGTCCAAATTATGAGGTTCTCAAACATGCAGTACTTAATATAGTTACAGGCAAAGCAATAAAATATTTAGTAGTAATATATTTGCAAATAGTGTGCATTGGATATTTTGGTATAAATTTTACTCTAAATGGGAACTTAATCTTACTAAAAAAACTTATTAGAGGTTACTGCAGTTGTTAAGAGTACATCTATCTTTTAAAATTTTGCACTATTGACGACCAAAAAGTCTAGTTAATAGATTTAATTTGGTAACCGCAACCGCAGAAAGTTTATGCAAAAATATTGGACTTTATCACCAAAAGTTCACTGTTTAACGATGACAGAAACAGCTGACAAGCTTGGGAGGAAGAACAATGAAAACTAATTTTTCATTAGATGCATCTATATAGTAGTATATTTGTATTTAATAAGCGTATCCAACGCTTATTTCCTTAGTTTGATGAAATGGTTTTTAAGTTTCATGCATGTTTGTTTTGATTGATTTCAATATAATTGGCATTTCCGCCAATAATTTTCATATTTCTGCGGAAATATAGAATGCATAACGTTGGCAAATATACTTTGCTAAAGACCAATTAATTTTCTGTCTTAGGAGCGTTATTCATTTAAAACATTTTTCGTATTTTCAATGGATGTCAATTTGTATAAGATACATTTAGTTAAACGACAAAAAGACAAAATTTGTTATCAATTTAAATAAAATTACTTCTCTACAAATTGTTCATAAGTATGTGGTACTATGGATGTAATAAGTAAATCGTAAATAACAAAAAACAAATTGCTGTAATTATTACATTAGTTGCGCATACCTTATGTAATTAATTATTATTATACAAACAAAATTTAACAAATGTACACCTTCGATTAACAAACTGCAAATTGTAATAGCTGCGCAATTGTTGTCAACGCAGTTGGTATTTGACGCGGGTTAATTAATCGATATATAAACGAGTGCAACATTTTCAAACGCCACATTATTTACGTTTGTGCGATATTGCTGTTCGTCGACGTAGATAAAAGTCAAAGAAAAAAAAATCTTTTAAAATAGAAAAATAAAAAGTGAAAATGAAAGTGTTTGTTGTTGCTTTTGTCGCCTTAATGGCAATTGCTGCTGTTTCTGCTGATTGTGGATGTCTAAAAGTAAGTTAACTTAACGTTAAGGTATTGAATGCGCTTCAATGTAATTTAATGCATTTTTATTTTACAGTGCAGTAAAAATTTGTACGTTGCATCGCCGCCATCATCTCCTGTCCAAGTGATCTATAGAGGATCCACCTGCTCATGCAATCGTGTAAGTACAACTTAAATATTTTTACAGACTGGTTGATTTTATTAAAAAAAAAAACTTAATCACAGTTTTACTTTCTTAGTCCGCAATAGTTAAATAATTAGTTAGTTAATTATTTGTATTTTTATTTAGCAAATTCCGTACTCTATTGAGCAACCCATTGTGAAACCGGTGAAACCTGTGACCCTTCGTGACAGTACCTACAAATGCATGCCATTGAGAATCGTCAAGAAGACCGTCCAAGTACCACTTTACTCCTACGATTACCAAGTTCAAGTACCAGTAGAGCAGAAACGTTGCAACAAGTGTCTTGTTGGACTAATTGCACAACCAGACCGTGTTGTCATGCCAGCACCATCTTGCCGGGAACCATCACCAACCGTACCTTCCCGCGGACCAGTATTTGAAGCTCTCTCCAACGTCGAAGACGAGGACTACCTTTACGAATATCCAGTGAAGAAATGCTCTTGTGGAAGGTACAATAAAAAGTTTAATATGTTAAAATTTCATTCAAATCGTTGCAATGTACCGAAAATTGATTCACGATATCATGATGGTTACCGGGAACTAACAAAACAAGAAATCGAAGATAATATCAATAGAAATATCAAAGATATCTTTTTTGAAGATACTTTTCAAGGTAGGATGAGGAGGTTGTTCTTTCTGGGTTTAAATAGTTTACAACAGCACAAAGCAGAAGAACCTAAGTATATGAACATCGGTAATTTTAGTGTAGGGTTAGGAAAAATAAATTTTAGTCCTCCTCCTATAAAATCATTGAGAAGTTGTTCTGAAATTTTGCAACGAGCTAAAAGGTCTGCTTCTAATTTTGCCGAGTCTAAGATAAAGGGTAAAAGGGCTAAAAGAACATTGCTGCCCTTTCTTGACCCCCAGCGGTTTGCCTTTAACCGGTTTACCATGGATACTGCACCTTCAAAAGCTGAAGATGCAGCATCAGTTAGCACTATTTCGACTAAAAGGCATAAAAGATCTTTGGATGATCTCACCTTCTCATTTGAAGAGGACAATGAAATATCAAATGGCCATGATGAATCCTATGAAGACCTTAGTTCTGAAGACACCTTGGACACTGTGGACCACCCCGAACATGAAATTGTGTCAGTTCCCAAAGCATCCACTCTTCTTTTAGACACGCTTCATATTGATCAACTTTTGCCTCAAATTCCTTTATTGTTTTTCGTCAATGCTCCAATTTCAATGTTGGCAAAATTTCACAACTTTAACAAGCATTTCGAGCCTGTTATTCAGAGCGTACCAACTGTCATTCGTACGTCAGGAAAATACTTTACCGATTTTGGAAAAAAATTCAAAAGATCTTTTTATGTCTTTACAAACTGTTTGATGTCAAGTATGGATCAGCTTGGTCATCGAATGAAGAGGAGTTCATCCTATTCGAAATCCTTACAGGACTTTGAAGTGGTAAAGTGCACAATCAACCAAGATGGTTCTGTAGATTTTATTTTATTTAATCACAAATCAGATACTAAATTGAAAAACATAGCTTTAGTAATTGAAAATTTTACGATGGATGCCAAAGAGGCGGAAGATGTCAAAATGTATCTAGCCAAAGTTGATACTACTAGTTTGACTGACAAACCTGAGAAACCGAATGGTAAAACAAGAAGAAAAAGAGATATATTTGAAGTGGATCTTAGTGGAGATATCAAAGATCTTATCAATGAAAGGTGGGGACACCTGATGGAAGAACAACAACATTATCCATCAACCCATCAGTCAGCCGAAGTTATCTTTGAGGATCATTTTAACCAAATTCCAAAATTGTATGACGCTGTAAAGAAAAACACACACAAAACCAAAACAACTCATTTAAAGAAAAAATCTTCTGGCCCAAAAATAAGAACAGATCCAATATTGGGCGCTGTTCATTCTGTATCCAAAAGAAACATGAAGATTTTGCAGATCTCCACCCTGAAAAAAACCTCGACATCATCAAACAAGAAATATCCAATGTTCTAGGACGGCTTCAAAATCTTTTACATACTGATATTGATAAAGAACTAACATTCTACGAAGATCTAGTAAAACTTCAATATTTAAAAAATACATTGATAAGTGATTGGCGCAAACATTTGACTGGGGATAAAGGTCAAATAGTTTCGGCCAAGATGAACATTCTTAACTACATCAAGGAACTAGAAAAATTCCGTGCGTCGCTATTGAAGAAAAATCTCAGGCTATTGAGTTCTCAAGATGGAGATGCCTACAACAGATCTGATTTGATCAAGTTTTTGGTGGAATTGTATAAACTTCAGATGATTTTTTCTCGAGTCCATGAAGACCTCAACGATAAAATACGGTTGGGTTCAAAGTTTAATCAACAGAATGAAGACACATATATTAAACAACTAGAAAGAATTAAGTTCTTAGAAAAAACTAATAAGTTTGAATTGGAGAATCGCCTTAAAGGAATAAGAGACACCCAAGTAGAACACAACATGATATTTTTAGAAAAATTAAGAAAGCTTTTGGAATTGGATGCATCTGTTGAAATGGAGCACGATGACAGAGACGAAGTGCACAATATTGCGAGGATGATTAAAGAAAACGCACATTACAAGTGGCAGCAGGTGAAACTAACCAGAGAAATTATCTCTATGGTAAAACTCAAACAGACTTATAGGAAAGAGTTAAAAAATTTATGGGATTTAGAAAGACACATTTTGGAAAATGATGATTTGCTAATGAAGAAAGGAGAAAAGGAAACAGTTGTGTCTTTAGAAGAAGAAAAAAGTGAAGAAATTGAAAAATTCGAATCAAAAGAAGATAATTCTTTGGAAACGTTTGATATACTTAAGATGGCAAAACCAATTACATTAAAACCACTAGAATTGAATAACTTAAAACCAAATTTAGACTGGGAAAAGAACATAAAAATTAAGATGGACGAATTTGTTAAAGACATTGCAGATAAAAGAAAAGCTTGGGTTAAAAAAACAAAGAAACTTGCAGAAATTATGAAGGAACCTTGAAAGCTCTTACCGAATTTCCGAACTTCAAAATTTTACATCTGTTTTTATTTTATATTAATTTGTTATGTTTTATATTTTACTTTGTATACATTTGTACCATTTTCAAATAATTTATTAACTCTTTTTAAATGAGTAGAAATATAAGTGAACTAACGTTTAAATTGCGTTATTACGGGATGCATTTTCTGCTTTAGTTGACTGATACTATTTGATATTTGGGATATAATTCAAAATTTATTTTCTGTTTCAGATATTGAATCAATTTTCAAGCACGGAATAGAGAAGCAGAAAATGCGCAATTGAAACATCAATTAATTTTAATCAACCGTAAAAAATGCAATTAAAATGTGTCAGGAAGATCGTGATATTTGTGAACTTTAAAGAATAAATACATTGAATAACGAAAAAAAAAAAATTTATAGAGAATTCATTATTTTAATCCACAATTCCAATATATTCTTATTAATTCCTGTACGAAAATGAAACCTGACAATTAAATAAAAAAATCGAACAACTCATGATACTAGAAATGGACTTCTGACAAAGATTAGATGGCTAATCAGGATTAGAAGACTTAACCAACATACCCGAAATAATGGACGTCTAAGCAGATATTCGAGATAAACTCGTCCTGCAAGAAATAACCAGGAAACAACAAGAATGGTACACCGTTTGGAAAGGATTGGAAAGGAGCACCTACCAAAAGCGATAAAAAACTGAATTCCAACACAAAGCGAAAAACGTGGTAGACCAAAACCAACCTGGATGAATGGGATCAGAAGAATAATGGCGGATAGAAGTCTTAACACGGGAGACTGCGAAGACAGAGATAACTGAAGGACGGGGACCAGAAGGCATCATGATGACGCCATAAAAAGTTCACTACAGCTAGTGTAGACACGTTACCGTAATTTGTAAATCTACATAAATATGTAAATTGTAATCTACAAAGACATTACTACTTTATGTTTGGATGTAACTACTATTTATAAAACGCAAAAACACAAGCCACCTATATAGTGCCCTACAAACTTAATACAAAAGCAGTAACAAAATATCCTTTAATATAGAAAAACACACAACCATATCATTTACTGACGAAGCATGTTTAACACTTCAAATATTTCACTACGCGATAAAAAAAGTGACATAATTGAAAATATTGCAAACATAATAATTAATTAGGGGCCAGTGTCTAATGCAACCTAACAATTGATAATATTAGCAGATAATTACCATTCTGACAATTAAGCAAGCAGTAAAAGAGTGCCGTAGAAAGAAATTGTATTTTGTTTTAAATAAAATGTATCAAAAACATTCTATAAAAAAGAAGATTGCAGATATTTTTACTGTGGCCGACATGATTTTAATTATGCGTGTAACTTAACATGCGTTGTTATAATGTGTGACATTGAAAAAATGCATTTAGGCAGTTTAACAATTTGCAAGTTAGGCATATTTATGAATTTGAGTTGACTTAATGTAGTAATGCGTTGGGTTTAGCAGTCGCAGCGTCAGTAGTAGATGTAAATAAAATATCTAACCTGTGAAATAATATATCAAATTAAACAATTACATTATTATTTATCATAATAATCCGTTAAAACACAATAACAAAAATGCGGAGGATGGCAGTTTCGATTACGTCAGTAAAAGCGCCAGCTAGCAACTACATCAAGCTCAACATATGTAACGAATTGTTTTATTTAAGCGAATGTGTTAATTATTTCAGTGGATGTAGTTTTGATCATTTCTTAATAACATGTTTTTATTGCCATGCCTAACGCAAGTGCAAGTGGTTTGTAAGTGTAATTATTATTATGGTAAAGTGTTTGTTATCAAAACAATGTATTGGTATATTCAAGGTATCAAAAGTTATAAGTATTTTACGAACCGTTAATTAAATTCACTGTGCTCGTTGCCTTCCGAGCACGTGTGGTGGGTGGCGTTTGTTACTTTTAATTTTTTACAATTAATAAAAGTCATAAGAAGCTTAAAGACTGAAAAATCGGAAATAAATAAATTGAGTTCCTAAGGATCAGTTGCCATGGCAACGTTAACAACTTGGAGGTTTTTGTGTGCACTTGTAATTATTCATGTAAGTCATATGAAAGTTTTATAGGAAACAATTTATCGTTTTTTTAAATATATATTTCTATTAAAACCAACTTGTTTTAGTGTGTACAATGTGCATCAACTTATGATGACTTCCGTCGAGTTTTCTACTCGCCTAATTCAAATTCTAAATATGATGAGTATGAGATTTTAGAACGCTCCAACTTTAAAATGGACCAAGATGAGTCCCCAGAAGCATCGTGTGGTACCAATACGAACATCGATGATACGTCTAACATCAAGCAACCACAAGCTATGGCGACCGCTAACGTAATGTTGCATATTGACCAGAGCAAACACGCGCATTCGCCGTACTACAAAAGCAAGCACTCTATGCCAACTCTCCCTGTATTCCCCAATTTACCACCTTTGGGTGGTGCTGTACCACACATATCGGCACCAGGAAACCTTGGTGGTCATGATGCACCAGCATATCATGGGGTTGGCAATGTTCACCAACCTCATCCCCTGTACTATCCGTGCCAATGGCCAAAGTCTAATTACGGACATTATCACGGAGGGTATCATTCGTTTTTGTTTCCAATGAAACCGTATAATCCTAATGGAAAAGATTGTAATGGTAATGACGAAACAAATAAACGTGGTGGTCGTAAACCCAAGCATCATGACCATGGAGACATTGATTCAAATGAAGATGCATCTGATATATCTGATTCTGAGTTTGAGGATAATTCTGAAGAAGTTGGTGCACACAATCCATGGCATAGCTCCACGACAACAACTACAACTACAACTAAGCGACCAAAAAAGACAAAGAGAACCAAAAAGCCTAAAACTACTACACTGAGGACTACACCCGCTACGTCACCCACAACTCCTCCATGTACAGAACCTACTGCCTCTGAGACCACTACTACACAAGAGTGTGATACAAGTACACTTTCAAATTGGTCAAGCAGTACTCCTATTATTCACGATCATACGGTTGTACCAACTACAAAATCTCCATGCAGCGGAGGTACTGATGGCACTGGTGGTACATGTACAGATCAACCAAGCACAGATAGCTGCTCTGATAGTACTGGACTGGTAGATGGTTGCGGCCATGGTATTGGTCACGGGCATTATCCTCATGAATCTTGCCACCACCACCATCATCATCACACGGGGACTTGTACTGAACCTTCAACTGTTTTCAGTTCTTCATCATCAACTGAATTTACCACAATGTGTGTGAAAACAAGTCCTACTCCTATTCCAACAGATTCTACTACAACCGAGACTACGACTACTACATGGGAATCAACAACTCCAGAATGTGACACTTCACCATCAACGCTACCTACAACTGAATGTGTTACAGAATCTACTACTGATTGTGAAACTAAAAGTACTACAACAACTACTGATTCATGTGATCTTTCTGAAGAGGATAGTACCACACCACCTACAACTACGCCTACTACTACTTCCTCTACAACGACTACGACCGAAGCATGTGATGAAGATAGTACTACACCTACTGAAACTACTCCAACCACTACTACTATCATAACATCTACAACCGTAAAAACGACAGAGGCTTGTGATGAAAATAGTACCACACCAACTACAACTGCGTCTACAACTACAACTACGACTTTAAAAACGACAGAAGCATGTGATGAAGATAGTACTACTCCTACCACAACAACTACGACGGTGAAAACGACAGAAGCATGTGATGAAGATAGTACTACACCAACTACAACTACCACAACTTCTACAACAACTACAACTGTAAAAACGACAGAAGCTTGTGATGACGATAGCACCACCCCAACTACAACTTCAACCACAACAACCACAACCATGAATACGACAGAAGCATGTGATGAAGACAGTACCACACCAACTGCAACTACTCCTACCACAACCACTACGACTGTAAAAACGACAGAAACATGTGATGAAGATAGTACCACACCAACTACCACTACTTCTACGTCAACAACTACAACCATAAAAACAACGGAAGCTTGTGATGACGATAGCACCACCCCAACCACTCCTACCACTACTTCAACCACAACAACTACCACCCTAAAAACGACCGAAGCATGTGATGAAGATAGTACCACACCAACTGAAACTACTCCTACCACAACCACTACTACTGTAAAAACTACAGAAGCATGTGATGACGATAGTACCACACCAACTGAAACTACTTCTACCACAACCACTACGACTGTGAAAACGACAGAAACATGTGATGACGATAGCACCACACCAACTACAACTACCCCTACTTCTACAACAACTTCAACCGTGAAAACGACTGAAGCATGTGATGAAGATAGTACCACCCCAACTGAAACTTCTCCTACCACAACCACTACGACTGTAAAAACGACAGAAGCCTGTGATGAAGATAGTACCACACCAACTGCAACTACCACTACTTCTACAACAACTACAACCGCAAAACGACCGAAGCTTGTGATGACGATAGCACCACCCCAACTACAACTATTCCTACCACTACTTCTACAACAACTACAACCGTGAAAACGACAGAAGCTTGTATTGACGATAGCACCACCCCAACTACTCCTACTACTACTTCCATCACAACAACTACAACCGTAAAAACGACAGAAGCATGTGAAGATGATAGTACTACACCAACTACAACTACCACTACTTCTACAACAACTACAACCGTAAAAACGACGGAAGCTTGTGATGACGATAGCACCACTCCGACTATAAGTACTCCTACCACTACTTCTACAACCCCGAAAACGACAGAAGCTTGTGATGATGATAGTACCACCCCAACTACTCCTACCACTACTTCTAAGACAACAACTACAACCACAAAAACGACAGAAGCTTGTGATGACGATAGAACCACACCAACTACAACTACTCCAACCACTACTTCTACGACAACAACTACAACCGTAAAGACGACCGAAGCGTGTGATGAAGATAGTACCACACCAACTGAAAGTAAGCCAACCACAACAACTACGACTGTAAAAACGACAGAAGCATGTGATGAAGATAGTACTACACCAACTGAAAGTACTCCAACCACAACAACTACGACTGTAAAAACGACTGAACCATGTGATGAAGATAGTTCTATACCAACTACAAATACTTCTACGACAACAACTACAACCGTAAAAACGACAGAAGCATGTGATGAAGATAGTACCACACCAACTGAAACTTCTCCTACAACAACCACTACGACTGTAAAAACGACAGAAGCGTGTGATGAAGATAGTACCACACCAACTACCACTACTTCTACGACAACGACTACAACCATAAAAACAACCGAAGCTTGTGATGAAGATAGTACCACCCCAACTACTCCTACCACTACTTCTACGACAACAACTACAACCGCAAAAACGACAGAAGCTTGTGATGACGATAGTACCACGCCAACTGGAACTACTCCTACCACTACTTCTACGACAACAACTACAACTCTAAAAACGACAGAAGCATGTGATGAAGATAGTACTACCCCAACTACTCGTACCACTACTTCTACGACAACAACTACAACCGTAAAAACGACCGAAGCATGTGATGAAGATAGTACCACACCAACTGAAACTACTCCTACAACAACTACTGCGACTGTAAAAACGACAGAAGCGTGTGATGAAGATAGTACCACACCAACTACCACTACTTCTACGACAACGACTACAACCATAAAAACAACCGAAGCTTGTGATGAAGATAGTACCACCCCAACTACTCCTACCACTACTTCTACGACAACAACTACAACCGCAAAAACGACAGAAGCTTGTGATGACGATAGTACCACGCCAACTGGAACTACTCCTACCACTACTTCTACGACAACAACTACAACTCTAAAAACGACAGAAGCATGTGATGAAGATAGTACCACACCAACTGAAACTACTCCTACCACAACCACTACAACTGTAAAAACGACCGAAGCGTGTGATGAAGATAGTACCACCCCAACTACTCCTAACACAACCACTACGACTGTAAAAACGACAGAAGCGTGTGATGAAGATAGTACCACGCCAACTGGAACTACTCCTACCACTACTTCTACGACAACAACTACAACCGCAAAAACGACAGAAGCTTGTGATGACGATAGTACCACGCCAACTGGAACTACTCCTACCACTACTTCTACGACAACAACTACAACTCTAAAAACGACAGAAGCATGTGATGAAGATAGTACCACACCAACTGAAACTACTCCTACCACAACCACTACGACTGTAAAAACGACAGAAGCGTGTGATGAAGATAGTACCACGCCAACTGGAACTACTACCACTACTTCTACGACAACAACTACAACCGCAAAAACGACAGAAGCTTGTGATGACGATAGTACCACGCAAACTGAACCTACTCCTACCACTACTTCTACGACAACAACTACAACCCTAAAACCGACAGAAGCATGTGATGAAGATAGTACCACACCAACTACAACTACGCCTACCACAACAACTACCACCGTAAAACGACAGAAGCTTGTGATGAAGATAGTACCACACAAACTACAACTACGTCTACCACTATGTCCTCAACTACTACAACAGAAGTTTGTGTAGAATCTACAACATCTGATGATTTTGTTTCATGTGAGGACGTTTCTGAACTCACAAATGCTCCTGTCATAGGAGGGAGTGACGAAGAAGAATGTGATGCATCCACCACATCTTCAACTAATGCTCCAGTTACACGAACTAAACCGACCAAACCAACGAAGCCCACTCATCCTACAAGACCAACAAAGCCAACGGAACCTACCACAGTTGATGAATTTGTTTCTTGTGAAGACGTGTCGGAACATACGAATGGTCCTGATGTAGGAGGGAGTGATGAAGAAGAATGTGATGTATCCACCACATCTTCAACTAATGCTCCAGTTACAAGAACTAAACCAACCAAACCAACGAAGCCCACTCATCCTACAAGACCAACAAAGCCAACGGAACCTACCACAGTTGATGATTTTGTTTCTTGTGAAGACGTGTCGGAACATACGAATGGTCCTGATGTAGGAGGCAGTGATGAAGAAGAATGTGATGCATCCACCACATCTTCAACTAATGCGCCAGTTACAAGAACTAAACCGACCAAACCAACTAAGCCCACTCATCCTACAAGACCAACTAAGCCCACTCATCCTACAAAACCAACAAAGCCAACAGAACCTACCAAACCTACAACAGTTGATGATTTTGTTTCTTGTGAAGACGTGTCGGAATATACGAATGGTCCTGATGTAGGAGGGAGTGATGAAGAAGATTGTGATGCATCCACCACATCTTCAACTAATGCGCCAGTTACAAGAACTAAACCGACCAAACCAACTAGGCCCACTCATCCTACAAGACCAACTAAGCCCACTCATTCTACAAAACCAACAAAGCCCACGGAACCTACCACAGTTGATGATTTTGTTTCTTGTGAAGACGTGTCGGAACATACGAATGGTCCTGATGTAGGAGGCAGTGATGAAGAAGAATGTGATGCATCCACCACATCTTCAACTAATGCTCCAGTTACAAGAACTAAACCGACCAAACCAACTAAGCCCACTCATCCTACAAGATCAACAAAGCCAACGGAACCTACCAAGCCTACAACAGTTGATGATTTTATTTCTTGTGAAGACGTTTCGGAACAAACAAATGCCCCTGTCATAGGAGGGAGTGACGAAGAAGAATGTGATGCATCCACCACATCTTCAACTAATGCTCCAGTTACAAGAACTAATCCAACCAAACCAACGAAGCCCACTCATCCTACAAGAACAACAAAGCCAACGGAACCTACCAAGCCTACATCAGTTGATGATTTTGTTTCTTGTGAAGACGTGTCGGAACATACGAATGGCCCTGATGTAGGAGGGAGTGATGAAGAAGAATGTGATGCATTCACCACATCTTCAACTAATGCACCAGTTACAAGAACTAAACCAACAAGACCCACTAAAGGTACACATCCTACTACACCAACAAAGCCAACGGAACCTACCAAACCTACAACTGTTGATGATTTTGTTTCTTGTGAAGACGTTTCGGAACAAACAAATGCCCCTGTCATAGGAGGAAGTGACGAAGAAGAATGTGATGCATCCACCACATCTTCAACTAATGCTCCAGTTACAAGAACAAAACCAACCAGGCCCACAAAGCCAACTACGCCAACAAGTCTACCAACCACAACAGAAGTTGGTACCGAATCTACAACACCTGAAGAGTTTGTTTCTTGCGAAGAAGTGTCTGAACACACCAATTTACCGGATTCTACCTCAACAACGGCAACCCCAGGGGCTGGGGAATCATGCGAAGTTTCCCAAGAAAGCAAATCAGCTGAATGTGATCCGTATCATATTATAGTGCACGATTCCAAAGAAAAGCATACGCACAGTCACAAACATTTTGACGACTCCGGCGCTGTTGAACACAGCAATGAAGAGGATTGTAAAGATTGTGATCCATATCATGTTTTAATTTATGAAACGAGCAAAGAAGATATCAAAGATCCGCAAGGGATAATAGATAGAGCTACAAGCCGTCGTGATAAACAAGATCGCAAGGAGAAAGATGGGAAAGAAAAGCGTGACTGCAGAGGACGGCCAGTATTGTGTCAGGGATGCAAAGATTTGATTCGAGATGGTCAAAAGAAACCACATGAAAGGTTTAGTGCATTATGCCATTCATGTCAAAAGAGAATTTTAGCGCATCATTTAGCTTCAGCTGAAGTGAATTATTCGGGAGATCGAAGGTCCGATGAAGAAGTTCATACATCTCAAAAAAATCGTAAAGCTACAAAGTGCAGCCGCGAGGAATTTAAAGAATCCGATTGGTACGCGAGGAAATCACCAATTTGGGAACTCCCTGAAGATGATGACTGTGATGGCACCACCGGTCCAACTACAAAACCCACTAGCCGTCCCACTAAAGCAACACGTCCAACGCGACCTACCAAACCAACGAGGTCAACGACTCCATCCATTCCAACTAAACCAACACGACCAACGAGGCCAACAATTCCCACTGATCCAACAAAACGAACAAGGCCCACACGCCCAACGAAACCTTCTACAACTACTAAATCAGATTGTTCGAGCGAAGTTCAACCTGATCATGGATACGTGTCTTCTGAAGAATGTCCCGAATCAAAGAATCAACATGAAAAGCAACAAAGCTCTGAAATAATGAAAGAAACAAAAGTCGATGCTGTTGAAATGGATTCTTCTGAAGAAGTTGAAAAAATAATTCGTGGAGCACGGAACAGACAGGGTAGTTGTTCAAGTTGTTCATCATGCGCAGGTAAACGGTTCAACTTTGATGTTGACGATATGAACGTTTACAAAACCGGAACCTCTCCATCAGTATCGCCTCATTCTGTTTATTGCTGCTGTCCACAATGTGTATCTCAACATGAACAATATCATGGTAAGGAAATATTAAACTACTAATTTATTCAATTCCAAACCACTTTCTGGCACAATAATTGTATTATTTCTTATTACATTTTAGCATCATTGGCTCCGGTACCACTTCCGACTTATAATTCATATGGCTATAAGTGTGGCTGTTCCTCATGCGTTCGCTTGCCGGTTGATCTGCCCCCAGCACGGTCTCCGCATTCAACAATAACACATATTTCTGACCACGCTCATGTTGAAACACCACTGCCATATTCACGAAGAGTTATTTACATTAATGATAGAGAAGAGAACATCCCATCAATTCCATCTATAGCTGCATCAATGCAACCAGTGGCCGACAATACATATGGTACTGAATCATGTGGTTGCCCACACGGGGAAGGTTATCCCAACGGAAGGAAATGCCCTTATTGTGCGCCATATCGTGGTGAAATGACCTATTAATTTTAAAGACGCAAATACAGGGAATGTGTGTTTAATAGAAAAATTGAGTCATTTGTTTTAGCACTACTTAATACAATTGCTCATGTTCTTATAATAGGAAATTTTTGTGACGAAAACTAAATTTATTAATTTATTGGACTGTATATTAAATAATAAAATATGATAATATTTATTGCATTAAAATAAAATTAATTATTTGTATGAACATGTTCTATACCAGCGTTTCCCAAAATGTGGGTCGTGACCCGACACTGGGTCGCAAAAAAATTCAGCTGGGTTGATTAACAAATAACATTATTTTTATTAAAAATAAAATAAATGTTTTTTTCATAAGGTGGGTCGCGTAAAATTTAAAAGTCTTGTACCGAGGCGCGATCTATAAAGTTTGAGAAACTCTCTTATCCTGCTTCGGGTTTTGTAAGAATTGATAATGATATTTGGTGCAACTCTATTCCTATTATAATTTTAACAAGAGTTTAAACAAGTTTTATACATGCATTTGCAGATATTGCAATATCGTATTTCAGTGCCAATAAATATGTTAAACATATCAACTCATGTTCAAAGTTTATTCATTAGTAAAATAATATATCACATGATTCTTATAATTTTGTACATAACACCTTAGTAGCACAATGTAATTTGGTATTGATGTGTAATTGAACTGTGTAACTGTGACTGTAATAATTACAATGATTAAACCCATTCCGATTTTATGCAAATTAATAATTTGTAGATCAATGGTGTATATGGTACATGAAAAGTAATATTATTATATGTTTGACTTATTATCATATCAGAGATTTTTTACGTCAACTGAGAATTCGGATTTATTTAAGAATTTGCAAATCATAAATCTTGTGAACTTTGATCTAGTCAGTGCGGTGATTGTTTTGACTAAAAATCGATGCTGCCGTCGCAACATGTGAATAACAATTTGCATGTCAATGAGATAATCGCCGACCGTCATCTGTAAACAAATGTGTTACATATTATAACAAACGACATATATAATATTTAGATACAATTCTGGGAACGATCGAGATCGTGTTTGACCAGGATGCAAGCTGATAATATATTAAAAATTGTTTAATAGTAAATAAACAGCTATCAAAATTAACTTATTTTAAATAAAGGCGTTCAAATTTATTAACTCTTACATGTAAACTGAAAAATTGAATTATCAAAAAAAAAAAAACATTTTTAAAACCGCTGAAAGGTTTCTACCTGAAATATCAGGTGGTAAACAGTTGTTGTTTGTAAACAAAGAAGTTAAAACGGGTCTTTTTTACAACCCCAAACCAGCCTCTACCTAAGTTTAATACTGGGATTTTGTACGATGTGCATACCTACTGAGAAAAAAAGTAACTAAGCATTTATGAAACGTCTAAAATAAAGTTCCTACTGATACCTTCCATTTTCTACCTAGAAATACTTTCAGGTGCAGGTAAAATCTTCAATAATCAATCAAGCGTATAAAAGAACGTGAGGATGAATAGAACCCAACTAAAACCCACGTTTTTGTGAGACATCACGTTTTTTTTCATACAGATTATAATAAAAAACATGGAAAAATTTTCCACGATTTATTTAAGTTTTTTTCTGATACATATCGATAGTAAGTAAGTGTTATTTTTTAAATTGTTGACAGGAACTTTTTTCTTGCTGATAGTGCAGTGTCAATGTTGAATTCGACAAATATGATGAGCACTGAAAAACTTTCATATGTAATATGTTTAGGTAGCTGTTTACATTTTGAAATGTGTTAACTTAAATATTGACTCAATGATAAAAATCTAGTTGTAAATTAGTTACAATAAACTTAAAATCAATAATATATATTTGTCAGCATATTTTATAAACTTTAAAACATTTATACGATTTGTCATTTTTAAGCTGATAATTTTATTTCAACTTCAATTGAAATATTTCTGCTTAATCAGCAGTTAACAATTCTACAAACAAATTGTACAATTGTCAACGATAATTATCAATTGTCATCTTTATTGCCAATTATTATTCATTCGCCAAATCGACATCAACCACGCAACAAACCACGCACAAACTGATTAATTCAAGATTAATAAAACTAAGTCACATATTATCAAAAGCAAGTTTATCAAGTGATTCATAAAACAATCGTGGAAAAGAACTAGAACTCTAGACATGGTATAGTCAAGTTCTTTTTTTGTGAGTTCTTAATTAATACTAACTCATCATTATTAATTTAAATGTTTAAATATTTGTTATTAATCTTATCAAATGTTGTTAACTTCGTTCTGATGGGATGTGATGTGATGCGATGTGTGAACGTAAACAAGACCTTGTTAAGTAAGGAACAAAGATGCTGATAACTCTAGCGGCTGCTTTTGGCTGAGTCGTGCGCGCAAACGCTCTGGAAAGATTGACTGACTGAGATCGAGTCTAAAGGGCGCGTTCCTAACGCTGGGGGTATAAATAACGCTCGCTCGCTCCCTGATCGACAGTTGCACTTCGTCTGCCTTCTCGTCGTCAGCACTCTTTTTGAAAATCCATCAATCATGAAATTCTTGGTCGCAATTACTGTTCTCTTCGTCATCCAAGTAAGTTTTTACCTTTTTATATTTATTACATAATTTTTTTCAATTTCATATTTAATTTTTTAAATATTTCCAAATATCTCTTGATAAGAGTTATTTAAATATTTTCATTTTCTTCAATTATATTGTGCTATAAGTCAGATAAATTTTTAAAGTTTGTATCGCAATATTTAGTAGGTCCTTATGCAACACTTGTTGCGAATTTCTTATCGAACTGATTAGTAAAGACATAACGTTCAGTCAAGGCTAAAGGTTAGGCAAATCGTGCATGCTGAGCAAAGCGGAGTTAAACGGATGCGCCGATAACTTAACTATGCGCGTACAATAATAACTGGACTTAACGAAAGCATACCCATAACAACCTTGAACTGTACTTCATTTATAAACAATGAAATGATTACTAATTAATATTACGACTGATAGTAATAAACACGAAATAATCTAACTTTATTTTTTGTTCTTAAGGGATGCCTGGCCAAGCCCAAGGCACGTCCTGATGCCCCTGCTGGCAAAGACTCTCTCCAGGAGTTGGCTGATAACGCCCAGAAGCTCGCCAAACAGGTGACTGACAACCTTGGAATCTCTGACCTGGACACCAAGAAGGTTGGCGACACCATCAACGAAAACACCAACAAGTTCCTTGAAAGTCTCCAGAGCTTCATTACCAAAGTTAAAGCCGAAGTAAGTGAAGTGATGAATACCACTGAAGCGGTCAAAACGCGTTAAATCACTACTCGCACATCTGATACCCAACCATTATAGTCTTCTTGTAACCTTTATAGTACTTACTTATACATTTTTATAAATATATGTTCTAAAACTGTGCACTTTTCTCATCTACTAATTTCCAATTTTTCTAAATTCTTAATCATTTTTAAGGGTTCCGCTCATGAAGGCGAAGTCAAGGACACCTTCAAGAAGATTGAGACCAAGCTTGCTGAGACCGCCGCTGATCTTAACAAGAACCTTTCTCCTGATGTGAAGAACAAGGCTGATGAGATGAAGGCCAACTTCAACAAAGCTTTCAAGGATGCTGCGGATCAGGTCAACCAATTGGTGAAGGATCCCAAGGTCAAGGACGCTCAGAATGACATCAAGAAATTCTCCGAGGACTTCCTGAACCAGTTCATTGAAATCGGCAAGAAGGTAGAATCGCAGGTGAAGACCATTGTAGAGGATCACGAGAAGACACACAAGCATTAAACCTTCTTTAAAATTTATTTACCAACGTAAATAAGCAATCAGCGTTATTCTATACGCAAAGTTTGTGCAAAATTATTATTAGATAAGTGAAGCATTTGTGAACGCGACTACGGAGTAAAGAGAATGATAATAAATTAGTTATAGTAAAAGAAATCTTTTTTTTATTTCATTAGGTTTTTTAGATTTGTTTATTAACTAGTAATATTCAATATATAAAAGATACAGAGTGTGTATAAAAAGTTAATACAATAAATAAACCTTATTTACTTATCTATTTATGTTAAGCTCTGAACGTAGAAAAATTTCAACATTAACTTTAAATTTATACAATTTCTAAATTCTGTTCAATTTTAAACAAAAACATTAATTTTTGATCTACCAGTTTCCAAAACTGTTCCAATGTCGACTAACCCTATTAATGGGTACGCCTCCATTGTAATAGTACCCGCCTTGCGGTGTTAACCATCTCTGCTTGATCATATCGCTACCTTTCTCGGCGATCATGATAGTGGGCGCGTTTGTATTGCCCGAAGTTACGCGAGGCATAATGGATGCGTCAATCACCCGCAATCTATCCACACCGTGTACTTGCAGTTGTGCATTTACCACCGCCATAGGGTCGGTGGCGGGACCCATTTTACACGAACCTGCTTGGTGGTTCTCCGGAGCGGTGTCGTGTTTCACGGCGCATCGCCAATAACGATCACCACCAAAGGCGTACTTACTGCAGCCCTTGACGGGAGTACGGTCTACTTTGAAACCATAACGTTTAAGAGCTACAAAAACAAAATTAAGTACGCTTTGCGCAGATATTCAAAAATCACTTACCTTCTGTTTCAGACAGTTTGATTCCAAATTTGATTCCTTCGACTAGAACTTTAGTATCTTCTGGATCGTCTAGATACTTTGCAAATATTCTAGGTGGCGTGAGGGGGTCATTGTCCTTGAGAGTAAGATACCCTCTGCTTTTGGGATGAATGACAGTTGGAATCATTTGAACGGACCGAGAATTGTTGTCAACACGTTCTCCAACCTGGCCAGTTTTGGCGCAATTGGCAAGGAAACCGCCGAAAAAGAACTGCAGATCTGGATCATCCTCTTCAGGATTTGAGAATTTAGAGTGGACCAAACCGGTAACCTCAGAAATACCTTTAAAGCAAATTAAATAAATGTAGTTTTACAAAAATTATATAAAACGTTCGAAAATCATACCTGTACCACTCATGAGACCATCTCTGAAAAGTAGGTATTCCATGGCTGTGGCCCAGTTTAGAGGGGTAGAATTGGTATCATTGATGTTGAAGTTTAAAAAGTACGCCACATGATTATGTAGATTTTTGCCTACACCAGGAAGATCATGAACAGTTTGAACATTAACTTTTTGTAAATCTTCTTTTGGACCAACTCCAGAAAGTAATAGAATTTGAGGGGAATTTACAGCACCTAGAAAATAAAATATTGAAAGCACCTACAAAACCATTTCTTATTTGATTTAAATTTATGAGATTTTAAACTTACCACCACTCACAACAACTTCTTTGCTAGCATAAATAACTTGCTTAATGCCGTTGTTCAAAACTTCAACGCCATAGGCGGTCTTAGTCGTAGTATTGATGAGAACACGGGCCACAGTAGAGTTGAGCAAGATGTGAAGGTTACGCCGCCCTTTGAAAGGTCTTAGAAAAGCACGTGCCGTGCTCATTCTAGACCCGTTGCGATTGGTGGTCTGAGCAATAGAAAATCCGGTATGGGAGACTCCATTCAAATCTCTTGTTTTATAACCTAAACAATATACAAATTTTAACAAAAGTTACATTATGCGAATTTTTATAATTTTTACCAAGTTCCTCGCCAGCTTTCAAAATAGCTTTCGACAGCGGTGGATGGTACGGAAACTGGGAGATAGTTAATAACCCACCAACTCCGTGATACCCCCTGTCGACCAGATCCATCTGCTTGTTGTCCTCACTTTTCAAGAAGTACGGCAACACTTCCGAATAACTCCACCCATCGTTACCCATTTGTGCCCATCCATCAAAATCAGCTCTAGAGCCTCTGATGTACATCATTCCGTTCATTACAGACGTACCTCCAAGCACCTTTCCACGGGGCCAGTAGCACCTCTGCTCGTTTTCATTCATACACGCACCAGTTTCGGGTTCCGTTTGAAAACCCCAATCGATTTCAGAACCAATAAAATTTAAGAACATAGATGGTACTTGCGCACCTGTTGGTTCGTCATGACCAGCTTCTACAAGGAGTACATTCCATTCAGGGATTTCAGACAAGCGACTTGCTACCACCGCACCGGCGGACCCGCCGCCTACGACTATGAAATCGTATTCAGGAAGCAGTGGCGTAGGATCTGGACGGCCGCATGGGTCTTCCAGGTCACACTGTGAGCGCAAGAATACTTCAAGTAGACCCATGAAGAGCATGAAGGGGGCGCCGCCGCAAGTTGATGCGAGGGTAGGACCTTGTTGGGTCACTGGACAATTACACGACATCTAAAAATATAGTTTTAAATTTGTATAATGAAATTCAGAAATTCAGGTTGTTTATTTATAAGGAAATTGTGCTATGATCTACAAACAACCACCAATATCTATCATAAATGTCAATATCAGCGACTCTACTCATGCCTACAAATATCATTTTAAATCCATATGCTCAAAATAAATCCAACAATAAATTTTAGTGTAAATAAATTGTTTGCTGTCTGTGACACATTCGACATCTGACCAACTAACACAAACGTCAAACCCGCGACCGTGCCGTTGTTCCATTATAACCAGTCACGGTTTCGTTCTGGTTTTTATCGCTTTCACTTTCGTGCGCCTAGCGCGAACTCGTGCGCTCTTCGCGTTTAACGCATTTGATTTATTACGTTCCTGCGTTTTTACATTTCGATCTCGTCGGTTCTCATGTTCCGACCGCAATCCGAGTACAAACCTAAATTGCGAGCAATCTTATTCTTCGGCTCAGATTAGCCTGGATCACGCTTTGATTGTATTTTGCGCAGTTAATTGAAAATTGAAGCAAATTTTGCGCTTTTTGGTCTTTGTAATATATAAATCGTAATTGTCTATTTTCGATACGAATTTGTTTCAAATTTAATTTTAAACATAATGGAATAATTACGCAATTTGTCGGGGACAAAAGAATTGGCGGTTTTCGATTTTTAGCTGCAAAATACATCACAAATAAACCAATCTATTATGGTTTTTTGTTGTTTACTCTGTTCAATAATTTTGGCATACAACATAATTAGATCGATTTTATTTTGCAGTAAATATAATATGCAATAAAATTATTTTACTTAATCTATAGATATACATTATTTTCAGTTATTTAGTAAGTTCGTTAATTACCGAAATTCCGCCTGTTTTCACTGATTTTATGTATTGTTTACAAAACCGTGGTAATATCGCCAAAATTTTAATGTCACATACTTTCTATTTTTGCACGACATGATGCGTATACCGCCAATTGTTCTCTTGTTTGTTGTTTGTATACGATTAATTATGTGTAACAATGCGGTGTGTGCATTCGAATTATGCATCGCAAGTACAATTCGATCGAGTTGTGCAACTTAACGCCAATGCTGCAACAATCAGTAATTACACGTGATATAGTCTGGGCACCACAACATGCTGCTTTGATTTAATTTTGTTTCCATGGTCATTACAACATATTGAAGTAAAAAAGTCCTAAAATAGCATTCACGGATTTAGTAAGCCAGTTCTATAAACATTTGATGAGTATGTGTTAAACTTTTAATTTGAGGCACATTTAATTTGGATGCCTAGACTATATTTAAGTGAAGCCAATGTAAATACCGCCGAGTAAGCAATATATTTCTATTTGGCGTTTAGGATTTTACAATTAGTAGGTAGTTCAGGTGTAATAGTATTTAATACATTTATATCAGTGTGTGTGCAACACACGTCGAACGAAATGCGTCGCGTTCAATTGTGCGTGGCAAAGGTCAAGCGCGAGAGACTCACTGGAGCGTGCAACACTGACCAGCGCTAAAGAAATTATTCATTTACATATTTATTACCTACACCAACATAGGTAAATATCATTACATCGTAAGAGAGTATTAGATAATATATAATCGTATCCTGAGTTCATGACTTTACTTTACAACTTTTTACAACTTTTACAACCGATTCAAGTGATTTAAACTATTCAAGTTTGTACAAAATGTTTCAAGTGTGCTTCAACTTTCATCCAGAAGAAAGGATAGACATCAAATAAGCAAGAAGGAGAAACAAAACGGTGATTATATAATCGATAATTCTTATACTATGACAGATTGAGGTGATTAATCCGATTGAGGAAATACTAAAAGACCAAAATGCTAAAATCGAATAGACATTAGGACATTACGACTTAAAATAAAACTAGTAATTGCAGTGTTGTCAAACTGGATTCGGTTTACTTTTCACTAGTCTTCCTAAATCCATAAAACAGGAAGTAGGTAGAAAAAATATATGCGAATCATTTAATAAAGATTATTAGATAATTTAATTATATTGAGATATTGAATGTTATATATTAGTGTATAAATTGATTGGACATAATTAATTAATTGTCTTTTTGTAATAAAATATGTTTTTCCCTTCGTAAATTAAAAAAAAAAACAAAAACAAAAAACTTATGGGCACTTTTTGTTTCGCACTATAAGTGAAACGTTTGGTTTTTATTATTATTTATTATAATAGGCGATTGCATTTTTGTATAAATGCAGTAATGAATGTGTTACTCTTGACTGGAATTATTAAGCAGCCATCTGTATTCTAAACTTCTAAAGATTGGAATGCTTGAATTAAAACGAGAGTGAAGCTTCTAAACATTTCAACATTCTTAACATATTAAGTCTAACCAACAAATGATTATTATCTATATTTTCAATAGTTTACAATAACACAAAAAGCAAAAAGATGCAAATGTTGCACATAGTAAGGCATGCAAATGAAGCGATGTCTACCTTTGTGACTGCATAGATCCCGTTCATCAAGACGGGTCGCACTCGCGATTCACACTTTCTCCTTTCGTTTCTTTCGTTTTGCGCCGCGCTCTTTGTGCCACAATATGGTCACAATCGACAATAGCATGCAATGTTACGACCGCAAATCATGATTACGTTTGTGAGAGGTTAGCAAAGGCAGTAACTAAACTAATTCTGCTTATAAATATCACAATATAAACAATTATTTGACTTAACCCTGACTTAGTAGCATCTTGCAAGATGTGTACGTTTATTTAAACCTTTTTAAGGACCTTAATAATATATTGTTGCAAGTTGTGTTTAACGACATAAATGAAGTTTCCTTTTCATTTTAATGTTCCTATAAGTAAAATATATTTAATTCATAAATCATCGATTCGCTTTCAAGATTTTATTCAATTTATTCACGACATTGAATTGATGTCAAATCACGTCTGAAAGTTTCAGTTGAATCGATCTATTGGCAAGAGAAAACGATTATAAAAACGTTCAATTTTATGGGCTTAGGCGAAGATATTAATAATTTCAGTTCAGTAAACTATTGAACGTAGGTATGTCAAACATTAATTTAAAAAATAATTTTATTTTTGCACTTTTCTGATAAATTACTTGTATGAATTCCAATTAAACATGTAAATTTTGAAAATATTAATGTTGCGATTTTGCTGCTAGATTTATTGATATCTTCTATAATGAAACAGTTAAATGTATAGGTCTAAGAAAAGACTTAGAGTATTTGCCCGACAAAATAAAGCTTTGTTGCCGACCGAATGTTATGTAAAAAATGAATATGCTATTATGAGTAGGTATAATAACAAATGCTTGGTTTCGAGTCAAGTTAGCTACGAAAAAACTAACCTTAATAGCATAGTTATGATTAAAAGACAAAAAAAGTAAAACCTAGAATTTGTAATAGCAATAAAGTAGAAGATGGAGAATTTAGTGCTGGCGTGACATTAGTTGCGTTTAAACCGCTGTAGTTTAAATGAATGTTGTTAGGCGCTGACAGTAGCAGACAGTGCTGATTGCGATTGCGAAGCGTAAATAAATTAAAAACGCGTGCGATAAGCACGAACAATTGCAAACGCACGCTTAGATCGTCATTATTGTACAATCTACCATCTACAATCGTCATGCAATACGAAAAAATGTCGCCGGTTTTCTTCATTCTTGATTTTTAAGCGTGCGCCGCAAGACAAAAACAAAAACTTTTTATTTTTGGCCTGAATTCTTGACTATTAATTGTAATTATTGTATACGGTTCCAACTATCACTTCAGGATACATATGTGTATATTTAATTCAACAATGAAATATTTCATTCGAATCCATTGTAACAATATGAAGACAAAAGATTGATATTCACTAATGCACAATATTCTATTTAAGGGAATGAAATTAATTCAAAAATTAAAGTTATGTTATGGTGGGTTATTTAAGCATTAAGGAACTTATAAAACATTTGATGATGTTGATATTTTAAGCAAATTGTTGGCGCAAATATTTATCAAATGGAAATCACAAGCCGCCGACAGCTAATTTTGCCATTAGGCACGAACTGTAAAACGCAATAGAAATATTCATTATGAATTATTCCGGCGGCGATTTCTTAAAGTAGTTAAAATTATAATATATTTAATCTTTACCATACATTCCGAATCGTTACTCACAGCAAAATTGGCTGAAATAATCACTACTAAGTAAATATAAAGAAAATTGAAATATAGTAACTTAGGCACTAAATGGAACTAGTTAAGAAAAGTCGCAATTCGGTAAAAATGCTAGAAATGCTATAAGGAAATAATTTTGCATTACGCAATTTCTTGCCATCTTATACAAAATGTGATTTATCGTTCAATAAGGCAATTTTAAAATGTTAATTGGTTATTAAAATTAGTTTAGTTATTAAAGTATACTGGGACATTGTAAGTACATGTACTCGGATCCGGTGAGGGTATGGAGGTGTTTCTTAATTAATAATATAACATAAAAATATTTAAAAAATTGGTGCTGCAACCGAAAATTTGTACAGATTTTTGGATAGAATGCAACATATGTAACCATTTATGTTTTTTAATAATTTTAATGACAATTATAAAGACAGATATAAATCATAATTTATGACTGGTTTTAAAATGATCATGAAAACCCATTGTGGATTCACACGTAAAATAATCATCAATTTTTAATTATGTTTTTTATTCACTGAGGTAAATATTATGTAAGATAATTCCAAGTAAACGAAAAGAAAATAATAATTATGTATAATTTGAAAAATATACGTTGTATAATGTGAAAATATGACAAATACTTTAAAATGCGTTTTAGTTCTTTTTCCTTATCTATGCAGTATCGTCCTACATATTTATTTAGTTTAGTATATTGTTCTGATAAAATGTGCAAATTAGGTATTTGAAAAGTTTGCCAATGTGTGACGCTGTCAAGCAAAATTTTTGACTTTGGAGAAGCAAAACTATAACTTGAAAAGAAGGATTAAAGTGAAAATTTATTTTATAATTGATAGTAATATGGCACAAAAACCTTTATTTGCATAAAATTTGCAATACTTGCAACATTTCAAAATCTTACCTAATTTAACTACTAATTATTTGTTGTTTGTGGCATGATATTTTTAGCGTTTACCGAATAATACCGAAAAATATTTTAGTTTTTAATAATTATTATTTTAAATAATCTCTGATAAGTATTTTAGATTTGAATGGCGTGGGTTTGCAAAACCAAATTGATTGTTAGAATCTCGTCATAATTAGAGTCCGACCGAAACTGGATTTTGGCAAACCGAATTTCGGCCCTGCAATCAGTTTCGGCCAAAATGATAATTTACACCAAACATATTTATCTACTTTTACCTACACATCGCCAGTTTTCACGTTTTTAGATACATAATCCATTTCGGGAGTAAAAGTCTCGTTTTAGTCATGATACTTAATATAGTATTAATATGAGCGAACTAAGATGGCAAGTAACGACCGTCATTAGTCGCGAAGTTAGCCGAGGGACGCAGGACAATTCACGAAAAGTGAGCTTCGGTACGGCGGAAAGTTTCGGCCATTTTTGGCCGAAACCGAAACTGAAGCCGATACTCGAATTCTTGGCCGAAACTGGCCGAAACCGAAACCGAAATTTCGGTCGGTCTCTAGTAATAATTGTATAGGCCGAAAAAAGTAATCCGAAGATTAAACCAACAAACAATGCCTAAAAATAGTTGAAAACAATACTTTGTATTTATTAACACTTTGCTCAGACTGTGTTTACTGTTTGTAATTATTATAGCTGTGTTTCAATTGTATTAAAGTAATTAATTATACTGTACACATTAATATCAATATCAATATGCGCAATCAGTACGTTCAATAGCGTCGCAAATTAGTTATAATGTCTTAGCATTGCATGCCGTCGTTAAAATTATTGCAATTATTTAATTATTTTAACTAGCCTTGCAATACAAATTACCAAATTATTGCAACTATAATTACTTGGTTTTGCTTTGCAGAAAAAAATATGTTTTATTGTAATAAAACAGACACTTTAAACACATTTAAAAAAGTATGTACACATTATTTCTTATTTGCGATTACTGCACTTTTCACATTTCTTAAATCTGTCACCAGCAATTTCTATAAAGAAGCAATTCATATATTAAGTGTTTTGGTAGTTGTTTCAAAAATGGACAATCTACAAATACTATTACATTTAAACGTTTTGTATTAAATTCGCAATATTTCATATCAAAGAGTTGCATTCAGAACGAACTCAAAAGCAAAACTGAAAACTTAAGCACAAAAAAATGAAACAGAAAGTTACTGTTGCAAAAAGTTTGCCAAAGTTTCAATAATACTGCTTTAAACAAAATGAACCATAAAAAAATCTCGATCACAATTATAACAAAAAATAAAAATTAAAATTGCAACAATTCATTTATATTTGCTTCATTCTTGCCATTGTTAAATTTTACAACTAGCCTCTAGTCAACAATAAATTATTTTTTTTGTTGGTATGCCTGAGGATTTAGTTGATTATTTCGTGCGCTTTAAGACCGAGGTTACACAGTTGCAGTTATTGCTTTTTCTTGCACCCAATTATTCTATTCTAATTTAAAAATGTAATGCAATAAATTTTGCGATAATTTGGATAAAATATATATTATAATCTGTACTCAAAATATTTATATTAATATATTCACATTTTTAGTATTTTAATGTGTGCATAAAAGTAATTTGTTGGTATCTCGTATTAACCACACCAACACTTTTTTGCTATTGAAAATATCGATCAATTTTATTACTTGAATGTAACAAAAAGCAATTTTGACGTTGTATACGACTGAATCGAATATTAAAATCAATAAATAAAGTTACAACATGTTTATATAGTTTTACCACAAATCTTAAATGATTTGTTGTGGTTTCATATTCTTTACAATTAAAATAGGTACTACAAAGTATATGCTATCACTATCAAAGGTATCTACGAGTATATTACATAAAATGTTAAAATAACACTTCTAGCATTAATCTAGTATTAATTGTGTAGAAAATATGCACATAGACCACATACGAATTTGAGTAACTTCAAAACTTTAACAATATACGTAGATACAAATTTTGGATTTTAAATATTTGTAGAAATCCAACAAAGGCTCATATGTTGAGAAAATATGAACAGAATGCAGGATATTATCTGAAAAACAGATAACGTTCAGAAATTAATTTTGCGACTAAACTTATAAATAAAAATAAGTGTAATATGGAACCTCAATCATAATTATAGTTGTATAACCGACTAAAGCTGTTACTCAAGTGTACAATTGATTATGCTTCCACTACGTCAACTGTTTGTAACATTAAATTTTGAATGAAGAGTCAAAAAATTAATATCGATTAATCTAATTCCCAAACAGCTGTCACAAAATTTACCTACACTCATGTTAAAATATTGAATATGATAATTTAACATCTGTTTCTTTAAAACATTTAACTAATTTTGTATTACTTTCACAAGCCAGTCATTCTAATAAACCAAATGTTGACAACACATCTGTATGATACCATAGTTTCAAATCAATATACCTCTTTTGCTTCACAATTCATTTTTCTGATAGTTCATTAATAATATTCTAATTTATAACACTAATAATATTAAATGTAAAACAAAATAAAAAAGTACGAAATGGCGAACCAAATCATGTGAAATATATTCTCTCATGTTCCTAATTTATTTCCAAAATTAGTTGCTCTTTCGCTTGGTCCAAATGTGCAAAATGTAAGTGTTTTAATGACGGGACAAGCCCAAAAGTTTTTGTAATACTAGAACATTAACTTTGTTCGCATATGACTAATTTCTGTAACATTAGTAATATTCGACATATTGACATATTGCTTGAGTAACAATAAAAGGTCACTTGACCACCTCTAAAATATATACTACAGTTTTAATGGTTTAATTCCTATTGCTAAAATCATGAGAGAAATTTGTGTACGTTTTTCAAATTTTAATTAGTCATTGGTGGGCGTCTGTCATGATTATTAGTTGCCTCGTAATATTAAATAACATTCTCTCATAGACCGGAAATTATCGACAGAAACTATGTTAGATTTAACACGTCGATTAAATCTTTGCTTTTTATTTAATTTTTTTATGCTTTAATTCTAGTCTCGATGCGGTCTGTCACTTTTTGGCTATTTGCACGTTGGTTAACGTTTAACAGTGTCAACATTGTGAAACACACATTTATTGAAGCGTTTGCAATTTTATTGTAATGTAAAGAGCGTTTGTGGCAACAATAGTAACTCTTGTTTAATCATTGTAAAAAAAAGTGCAATTTGCCAAATTTCACGCAACAAAGAATGCAAATTAAACACACAAATAATTCAATGTTAAAAATCGCAATAAAAAATGTCTAATTTCCACAATTTCGTAATTTTTAACTTTAAACAAATTTAAAATATATTTAGGGTAATTTAATCAAATTTAAATATAATTAACATAAAATTACCTTAAATTAATAGTAAACACAGCATAAATTAGGAAGGTCATTCTCGTTTTGACTTTTGTTTCAAATATCTTTAATCTTTCACTTTTTATTCTTTGATATAGTTTCAAATTCTGCCATGAACCATTTTTTATTGTCAATCTCATTAAACGTATGGTCTATAATGAAATTAGAACAAGTTCGAAACGAAATAAAACAAAACTCGACACGTAACTAAATGCAGAACGGAAACCGAAATCGAAAGTTTCATTCATTAGTTTAAGCATAGAATAATACTAACGAACGAACGAAAAAGCGAACGAGTTATTATGCTCACGCGGTTTGTTGTTAGTCACTCAGTATTCGCATGGTGAACAATTCAGATAAATCAATGGAACAGCACGATTAACTATGTATTCATTTACCATGGTCAATACTCAAAATTGATGTTTATATTATAGTAGAAATAGTGTAGGTAATTGTATGTAAATTTGTTCGTGAATTGTATAAAATTTACTTATTACACATTTTGTATTATGAAATAAAAAAATAGTTTTATTAGTTACCTCAAATATTTAAAGAGTAATTTTAATACTTATCTCAAGTCAATAAAACAATACATGTTATAAATGTATTATTAAAATAAAATAATAAAATAAATACCTTGTAAATTTGTCTTGGTACTTGATGATCCAAACACTAAATTCACTAAAATTGTCCACTATAAAAATGCACTTTAAATATCACGATTAACTGCGCAAAAAATAACTTAACAGTTGTCCATTATGCCACACATCTTTTAAATTTATCAATGCAATACATTTTGTTGATGGCTTAATCAAGAAATCGTTAACTGACTGAAGAAATATATAAAGAAAATTCGAAATTGGCACTAGCAATTCGTTTCGCATGAGATTTGGATTCGCGTGCGGCGCGATTCTAACTCTCGGCCGAAATGTACGCTTCAGTTCTTTGCGCGCCACTTGTTGTTGGAACGCGATGCGACGGTGACGGCGAATTGGACTCGGAGGTGGTGCAGCGCGGCGGTGTGGTAGTTGTGGTGTGCGACTTCTTCGGCAGCGGAGGAGTCCTCGACACACTAAGAAACTTTACTTTCGGACGCGCTCACTTTTTCCATTTTTGATCAACATATTCTAAAACATTTATATTTTGTGCAAAATTGCAGTAAATCGATATATTCTTTGAATACTTATTAGTAAGTATTTATTTAAGTAATTAAATATTGTGTTTGATTATTTAAAACTTTGTATGCGAGTTATTTTTGAAAAGCGTGTATAAACATATTAAGTTTCTATTCTGGTTAATAAAACACTAATAATGCAATATTGAATAATATAATAGATATAATAGATAGTAAAATAATACTGCAGAAATTTTAAATTGCCAATTAATGTTGTTAACATATGAAAGATAAACCATTTAAATTGGGTTAATCTTATTAAGAGGCAAAATATTTTAAATGCTAATATGAATCAGTATAAAGTCAATAGTGATTTTATATTATTATATAAAATAATTAAAATAATAATGCGCTACTGTTCTCTACATATGTAAGTTTTAGCTTAAATTGTACCCAGCCGTTCGATTATATTGGCCGTATGATGGATAAATTGGTAATTACATAACTAGTTTACGACCGATTCAACTTAGTATCCCCAGAGAAGAATTACAAGCGAAAATCTAGCTTTGCTAGAAGCGAACAATATCTAGCAATTCAATAACATTTGCAGAGCTAGAAATGAGTGCATTGATTTATATAGTCCTTACTCCTTTATTGGACATTTACTATGTTACTATTATAATACTTATTTTAAACTATTTTCATTATTCTTTATATAATGCGAGAAAGTAAATTGATTTACGTTATGTCAACTAGATGGCGTCCGTTGACAATACTAATGACAATGTCTTGACTCCAAATTGTATTAAAAACACCGAAGAAAATTTTTTCGAATATCAGTATCTATTTTCATTAACCGATAAAAGAAGAATGTAATATTTTAGTGTCGGTCAAAACTATTTTTGAAGAACAATAAACAGTTAATCATAATCAGACAGTCTCGACTTATCTCGTCTCTATTATAATCAGTGTCAAACAATTAAAGGTCAAATTTTTATGTATTTATAATTATAAGTATTCATTATATAAACTGTAAGTAAGAAAGCATGGTTTATGAAATTTTTGCATCATTAATCAGTTTGTCTGTCTTAATTAATTCGGCCAGCAGCACTTAATCAAACGAATTCGAAAAGTTTGCAGTTTGGATAGTACCCATAATGCATACTTCATAGTTTAAGTAAAAGTAGGTAAACGAAGGGTCACTAACCTATAATAAGAAGAAATGCAATGCATATCTCGAAATTTCGAACTAAATGAATAAAGGTAATAAACTTTATGAAATTATTAAATTGAAGCCGGTATTCCACGTAAACAAAGTTTAGTTGGTCACTAAAATATCTAGCCGTCTATTTTGGTAAATACAGTTGTCACTTTTTTTCTATTTTATCTTAACCTGTAATAACATAGTAGCACAATGTTAACTAATCAAATTTACGCACAGTACAAGTTCATACACGAATATTTAATGAGATCATGCACAATGTAATCAAATTACTTAAACGGTATAAATCGTAATAAACTTCACTCAAATAATGAATCATAAACAGCATAGGTTTTTGCTGCACTTCTAGTATTTTCGTATTATTGAATTAATTGTAGGCAAGTTATTTCACACATTTCACTTGTAAGGTATGTCACTATAAAACTTTAATATTACCTTAACGATGTGCTTGTTGTACTGAATACTGAAAACAAAAAATTCATTTATATAAGATTAACGTCCAGCACTCCAGAATGTTTCAGCTGAACCAGCACATTTCATGGTCATGGTAGGGCGATATTGCGACAACCGCAAATTTTCAGACAGTTGTTCTTTAAAAGTTTAAGGTGTCGGGCTAGTTGTGTTAAAATTCTACTTGTAATGTTTTGACTTTTTTGCCAATCTTTATGTGTTTTACCTGTGTTCGTGTTTAGTGTATTTTTAATACCAAACTACCAAGTCTATTTAATTATTATTTGTAACAACAGTCATACATTTATAAATTTAAATTGATATCGACCATAATACTTAATGATGGATGTGGTTATGACTTTAAAATAAAAGTAAACGGTGCTCGGATTATATTTAGTATTGTGACGGCTGGAATTGCTATAAAATATGTAACACTTTAGCTTCTAACTGATTAACAGGTTTAACGAGCAAAAACAATTTAGCAACGAACAACTTTTCTGCTCTTGCTGCTTTTACTCGCTGTTTAAGTTTTAGTTGGCAGGTTACTGCATTAGCACAAACGCAGCCTCTAACTCGATAGAATGGAATTCTAAGGTAGGAAAAATTTCGTAACTTCCGTTCATCTGTTTCTCAGCGCTAGATTTAAGAGTTTCCATAGTCTTCTTAACTGATTCTGAAACAAAACTTTTTTTTCTCAAATTCTACATAACAAATGGTTACAAATTTACAATTGTTCCATCCACAAATTAATATTTTAAAGAATTACGCCTATCATGTTTACAATTCAGTTTTGTCTTAATTTAATTAGAAATTTTATTTTATTTTCATTTTTACAAATATCGTGTTGTTACTTATTTTATTGTTTGTATCATGTTTCGTTTTGTTATTTTATTATTTTGCCTCATTTATTTTTAAGAATTTATATGAAAGATCAGAAATAGAAATTTGAATATTTATCAGAGTAGCATTAGATATTTATTTTTAACTTGTTTGTATTTTTAAATCGGTAATGCCATTTTAAGGGAAAGGTATTTTTAAGTGCAGTATATATTATATTTGCCAATGCTGTCTTAATTCAAAAATTAGGGCAACAGAATTTATTGCTTTATTGGTTATTAGATGATCAACAATGCGAAAGGTACTGTTACTTCATTGCTACAACTTTTCATTTTTCTCTGCTACAAATGATTTCCCAAAATATTGTTATTACAGAATCTGCATTTAATTAATCATAAAATCTGAAATTATCAATTAATTAACTTCACTTAAGATTGCACCGAAATGGAATGCAATGAACCAGTAAACTATATTAAATTAAACATTAGCAAATACTTAATGTACTGATGTTGCATCCAGTTGCGTAGACAAACAGTCAAACATTCAGTAATGCTCAATGAAGCAATCAATGATAGATACAAATGCACATCTATGCAGCGAACCAACTATCCAAACATCCAAAGATGCAAGTCAGCGTAAATGTATTTCTTTGAACGTTAGAAGTACGCAGAAAGTTGCACACCAAGATCGAAGATTCTATTCAGTAGTCAATGATCTGAGAAAAAGTAATAAAAATAAAAACAACTGATGTGCGTTCACTCAATTTCACAACTGTTTAGAAATTTTACTTATTCTTTCTTCTTGTGGTTAAAGATGTTAGTTGACTTAAGATATTCTTCACATTGCACTGATTTTAACAAACTACTACTGTTGAAAAGAATGAATTTGCAAATTTATTTAATGTAAGAATTTTCTAGCTGACTCAAATCATCGAGTCTTTTAGTCCGCGTAAGTAGTGTAAGTACAAGCAACTAAGTAAGTAAGAAATAATAATAAGCAACACGTAGACGGTTTGATGCAATTGCGCAGAAAGAGTGAAGACGTAAACGGCGCACGGTGCACGAATTATGCAAACGCATGAATGTAATCTAATGCAAAATGTAACGAAATAAAATCTAAAGTAAAGTACTGAAGTATAAATTGAAGTAAGGCAAGGTAAAAATTTGGATTTAAAGTTCACATGTTTACAGTTTCCCCGCGTACGTTGTATAATTTATTGTTGATATTATATTATTATATGTTTTCTTGTTTCAAGTTGCTCAAAAATAAAATGAATCAGAAATACTAATTTGAATTTGAATAAGATTTAGCTGATCACGTAATCACAACTTCAGATTTTTCACAATTTTACTGTTTTTATTCTTTTTTGATTTTTATTTATTAAAATTATAATAATCACTGAGATGTTCACATTCATACATCTACGTTTCGTTTGCTGCCAGTTTTCTTCACTGGAAATTGCTAAAATAAATTGGTAGCAAAAAAATTTAAGTGCAATTAAAATAAGACGCGCAAAACAACATAGTTCTAAAAATTTAATAGTCGTATTTGATATATAATTTTTAAATTTCTAATTTTTAATTCGTAGTTTTTGTAGGTTGGGTTTAAGCACGTTGTGAAATATGATCTGCACTGAACGAGTAATTACACGTCTTCTCCAGTTAAGTCTCGGATTGTAAACCGAGAATAAAATTGCGGATGTTACGATTCGTGCGGATTTCTGTTTGCTGTAATGCTAACCGTCGAGATTCAGATCCAAATCAAGATTGACTCGAAATCAGATCAGACATTACGTAATTGCCGTTTTTTTTTTATATATTTATTATTATTTTTATTACAAACGTAATTGTAGCAAGTAACTAGAAAGAAGAAAGTGGAATTTAAAATAACTTTTGCAAAAGTTATAAAAATATTAGATTTATGATTATAAATAATTGTTTTAGCATTTATTTATAATTTGAATGTTTTTATTATCTCAGTATGATGCAAATCGTTTTAAATTGAATGAAAAGTTATGTGTCTTGACTAATTGACTTGATAATTCACCTTTAAACGATTGTAATTAAATTTTAATTGCACGATTTGCATCTGTATGTCTGCAGATTGTCATAACACGAGAGGATGAAGTGTTATGACTTGTTGGGAATAATAATTAATATGTAAAGAAGATAAACACAACTCAATATGATGTCCTCGTTACGTGTTGATGCGGTGCAACGCTCGAAAGTTAAAACCTAGTAACGTACTCGAATACTCGTACTGCAGTAAAACTGTTATGGATGAAAGGACCTTGACTGACATGTCAGTACAACCTCGACATATCATATTTTACCCAGTTTGTAAACTAACGAGTATTTAAAATATTTTCGAACGGAAACTAGGAATCGTGCAGAATAATCTATTAAAACTTGTAATTGATATAGGCAACTTACATTACACATACGAACAACAAATTGAATATATTGTTAATTAACAACAAAATTAACTGAGAAAATTTCACTTTTTTAAAATAGACACAGTTTCAATTATTAATTGTTGTTTTAAGCTTATAACTAAATAATAAATAGCATACATTTTAAATGCACACCTGGTTATATATTCAAAACAAATTGTTTTTCGAATTAACCCCAATTTCTAGATCATTTTTGTGTTTGATGAACTGACTTGGCTTAATCGATATTTGATTCCAAGTGGTAATTACCAATGTGGATGTACCTAGCATAATAATCATTTTATGAAGACATTACTTGATATTGTAAAGTACAAATTGGAAAAAAAATTTCCATATGAATAAACAATTTTTCTTTACTAGAGTTTATTTGAAATCTTTAATTTTACTTATGTACTAATTAATTTTACTCTTTTGAACGTCAACTCGTTTGCTGGCTCCTGTTTTACTACCTTATTCGCACTTGTCATTTGGATTTGGATAGGATAATAATATGGGGACTCCTCATATAATTAACTTAAATCTAACTTATGCTCGGAAAGCACGGTAAAGGAAAACTTTGCCGGCAAGAAGAAAATAATTATTTTTATATTTTGTACTTAATTTTTGTCCGTTTTCAAGTCTGAAACACTTCTTCTTTATCTCGTGTTAAACTTAAATTGCGAGTTTCAGATTTTCTATATTTACCATATATTAGAAGTCAGTATTATTAGTACACTCGTCGTTCAGTAAAAACCCTTGAAGCTGTCTTACGTACCACACCCACTATAGCTTGAAGTTTCAATTTTCTGGAGTGAATTTTAGGTGAATTCTGAGCCAATATTTATGCGTCAGTGAATTGTGCATCGAGGATTGTATCTGAATGCACATCTCTGCTCCATATTTACTTATGTTACGTCTATTTGAGCTACATTACGGTATATGCGCTCGGAGGATGCATACCAGACGAGAGTGAACGAGATTATCATAAATCTCGTCTCGCCCTCGGGGGTGTATTGTATGTAGTATCGGTATCGCTAATAATATTTTCGGAAAGGCCTCGTCTCGTTTCGTCTCGGAAGAGTGAAAATAAATCTCGCTTTTGTGTGAAGCCCTAATATTAGGCAAATATTTATGCACTTACGCGTAAAATATTATAAATTTGCTGTTTAGTGATAATTTTGTCAATTTTTTAAAGTTTGTTTTTATCCACATACTTAAAATGCATCTATGAGTCATTATAGCAAGTAATAATAAATTTTCATCCAAAAAGAGACTTACAAGAGTTGATGGGCAAATGTCTGTAAACATCTTTGCTCTAGATTCGTGGGGAAAGCAATGATCCCTATATATTAATTAAAAGAGCACTCCCATTTTATAGACTTTATAGAGGATACAAAATTTCTAAATAAATAGATTTCGAAGTATATTGAGAAATACAATAGGGCGGTCTTCTTGCGTGGTGCACCCTCGCTTAACGCAAACCACCTGTTGATAATTAATAAGTCCTCTTCTTTAATTTATATTCACATTTAGTTAATTTCAACGTCAGGTCTGCTTTAAAATTTTAATTTGAACCGTTTAGTATATCATTCAGGTCCCTAGTTAAGGTAAGAATATCGTTCAGGTAGTTCGTGATTGCCTTTCATATTTGTCAGTGTAATATTAATGATATTTTAAAATTCATTTGGTCCTTTTTTATCAAATTTTGATCGATTGTAATAAATCGATTTTTTTTCTTTCTTTTTTCCTCTATCGATGCATCTGTAAATAAAGAGATTGCACGCAAAATAGCTTCGAATTTATCAGTTTTTCAAACTGTTCGTCCTCTGTCTAGATTTTGCACTATTTTCGGTATCATATTATTAACCAAGTAGATGTAATACTCAGCTCCTAGCAATAAAGACACCATTTATTCAACAATGTCATTCCGTGTTTGCGAATGAAACGAAAATAAATAAATAATATAACCCAGTCAATAGGACACTCAATCAACAAATACATCAAGGATAATTAAAAAGCAGTATGATAAGAAATCATGTACAGGGCAAATCGTATGGATTTCGAATAAGAAAATTAAGCGGTACAAAGAAAGCATACGATCCAAGGCGCGCGCAAAGCGAACTCATCGACTAGGATGCAAGCGCATACGACATTGAACAATGCAAAGTCGGTGAAACTGTTGTTTCTGCGCAGAAAGCATATTTCAGTCTTATCTGAATGACGTCGTGTAAAGCCGGAGCGGGTAGCTAAATTTTTGTTTAAAGCAATATTTGAACGAGAAAATATTAAATGATGATTATAAGTATCTATCTATCTACCTATGAGTTTGTTATACGTGCAAAAGTTGCACCAAAAATAATTAAATTGGCATATAACTGCATACTGGTGAATATTCTAGCTTGCAGAATTCAACCAGTTGTCGCAGCCATTGTCAATCAGCCACGAGCTTTTCCAATTGCCCCCTTTGAACATATCTATTACCCGCGGATCAATAACAAGCTGCCTTCGGTCAGACTTTAAAAAAATTGTACTATTTCAAGAGTTAGGAATTCTATATTACCTGATAAATATTGGATAGTAGATTTACGAAATGTATCCAACTTTAAACATTTAAGTAACGAAAACATAATGTTTCAATATAAGAACATTTATTAATTTTATGTATAAATTTCGACAATATTAAAAATTCGATAAGTAAGAAACAAAATTTAACAAAACAAAAACAACTATACTATAGTAGCGATAAGTGGTTTTCAAAGATCCTTACAACTTGTTAGAAACTTCTAAAGCACGACTAAACAAGCTTAGGCGTAACAAGAAAACAATACAAAATAGATAATAGATAACTAATGATGTGATTAATCTTAGTGGCAAATTAATCGGTATACTTAAGAGTAATTACGTGAATATCTGTGATGAAAGTGAACAAATACGCTTGTGATGATTGGGTGCAAATCGGATTAGATTTCCGTGGAAGAGAAAAACGACATGAACGCAGCTCAGTCGATGGCAAGCTGTCTGAAACTGCCGTCCAAACCAAATAGATCATCATAATTAGTCGGCTTTCCAGGACGTTTCGATTCATCCGCCTTGATACTTTCTTGCTCTTTGAACCATGGATTCATTTCTTCCAACTTCTTCATCCACTCATCTTAAAAATGAAATCAAAATATTAGTTCCAAAATATTTGTCATACTTAAAAAAATGCGTACCATGGAATTTTTGACAAGGTCCAGCAGTACCACCGTATTCTTCAGGAAGAATGTCCTTTGGTACCATCTTGTGCAGTGAATCAAGGTCAGAGTGCACATGGATACGATTGCGGATCTTTTCGGTGAGGAACGGTTTGGCCCAGTTGATGATAGTATCAATGATTGGTGAGATATTGATCACGTGCACCTCCTTTAGTTTAACGGGATAAGCTTCCTGTACAATAACTAGGAACTTCTTGGCAATCGCCGGTGTGATCTTGGCAAAATGTGCCGGGGTGATGATGCTTGCGTCGAGAATATAAACGTCGCCGGCTACGCCTGTTTCCTCGGCCGCCAAACGCACATCACCAATCATTAGAACAATCTTCATCGCATCGAAAATCGATGGCGAAGTGATGGTTTTGTCCAAGCCACGCAATACCACCACACGACGGCCATTTGAGGTTAGACCTGGTAATGGAGGCAGGTTTCTAAAAAAATACATTTTAAAATTAGAAGATTTTTCTTAAACAGAAGCATGTTACATACACGTATTTGATGATCTCCTGAAGTTCGGGTCTGGTGATGTCGCGATTGGTGAACAGCTCTGGGCAGGCAGTTCGCATGGTGAAATACATGTCCAGCTTCTTTTTGCATTTCTCCAACGAGAATTTGCAGCCTCGCAAAAAGGTCATCATGCGGTCCTCATCTTTAATAAATAATTTTGTATAAATTTACCGAAGCAATCAATAAGATCCTAATACATATAAATAATGCCAAGTAAAAGAACAAAGTAAAATGTAGAAATTTGTAGCCGCGTTTCAAATTGTAAGTGAAAACAGTAAAAGCAGCAAAAAATAGTCATTTTATAAACTATTAGCGTTTAACAACGCCTGGAAATAGGTAAAAAAATCAATTCTAATAAGATATCAACAAGAAAAATGCAAAAACAAAAATGATCAAAGCGCGTGTTATTGGATAAATTAAATGAGTGAATTATTGATGTACACGTTAACAACCGGTACTATTTATTCATAGCATGACTTTGACCAACGTGTGAATTCAAGGAAAGATGAAAAAATTAAATCATAAGCGATCGAATCAAATAACACATCATTGAAGCAATAGTATAACCATTTTAACTAATTAGTTCAGTGCTAGTAGATCACCATAGAAGGAAACAGATATAAACTTTGTACAAATGTGAAAGTATTTTTTAGCGTTTCTTGAATCATTAACTGTACATCGTTCGTCTGTATAATCGAAGCAATATAGAAGTAAGTGACACAATGAGAATGGAAAACATGTGTTTCAAATTCACATCATCTTTAATTATTTAGTCTCACACACTAACGCATTCATAATGGCATAGAAATGAGAAACTAATGAAGCAAGTTTGCTTAGTATTGATTGTTTGTCTATTGTTTTGACTTAATAAATAAATAAGTACTCTAATATGAATAATAGTAGTATATTGACGTTTCTAAGGTAAAAAGAACTAGTTGCGGCACAAGTATTGAGCAAGGATACGAGTATATGTTTTATATTTAATGTTGGCGTTAAAAGGTAATTGAGTCGTACGGAATAATTTATTCATTTGAAAAACTGTACAATACCCCAAGTATCAGGCAGATGAGGTTGTTTGGCCAACCATTCCTTGATGTGGGCAAGATCGCTGTCCCGCGTATTAACATCCTCGCAGAGCTCCTTCCTGATGAGGACCTGCATATCAGCATTAGGTTGCACCAAAGTCATGATTAATCCTAGAACAAGAAATACTTATTGTTAGATTCAACAATTAAAACATAAATTCTAAATTTTTCGGTCAAAAACCAAAACTTTTATAAAACGCAATATTTTTTGGTAAAGATAAATAGGTCGCCATAATTAGAATTTATTAAGTGCTGTAAAATAAAAGACTTAATTTTAATTCACAAAATCTTGGGCCTTGGTGCATAAAAATTAAAAAATGCGCACAGATCTTCCTGGAAAAAGCGGTTTTTAGTTCAGGTGTGAAACCCTGTTTTAGGCCGAAACCGATAGTTCGGTCAGACTCTCATAAATTGCCGTACAATGGTTAATAATTATTCAATTGAATCTTCTATAAGATCATAAATTACATCGTAAGATAATTTGTAGTTGTTTGTGCGGTTTGTGAGAAATTGATCGATCAATGTCCACTAATTATTTACCATTGCGTCAATTTTGCATTGAGGCACACAAAAAAAACACGTGTTACTTCCTCATTTACCGCTTATTCGCAAAAGTCAACGTCATCAGTAGTAAATTATGTTTTTCACGTTAGCGATTCTATTTGGTGACATTTAAGGTCTGGCGATTTGGATGTAATTAACAATAAGTTTATATAATATCAATGACTCATAGAAATTTTGATTGGTAATGGTGTATTGCAATAACGAAAGCAATAAACCAGCGCAATCCGAGCTCCAACTTGTGTAACAAACGCACTCAGCATTCGTTCAAGTAGTTCAAGCATTCTTACTCGTAAAAGTTCTTTCGCCCGTTACTTACTTTTTGCTGGTAATTTCTAACATGCTTGCTTTGTGCTCGGTTGGTTCAAGTTTGACTTTAATAAAAATAATTTGCGTGTTAAAAGCAACAGTTTGATTGCGACATACTTCTTAAAGTGGAATTGCTCGGTTGCAAAATCAAAATAGAAAACTGAAAACACAAGCTAACTTCTTTTCTTTTTGTCAATTGGAGATATAAGGTAACATATAATAATTTGGGAATTTATATCAATACAATATTAATGTTTTAAAACAAATTTAAAATTCTAAACAATTATTACATATAATCTGATAAAATATTAATTTATTTTTGTTTTATTTAATATAGATTTAAGTTTATAATCTAAGTTTTAGTGACCTAAGTTAATTTAGTAGGCAAACATTGCGCCAAATTGTGTGGTACGTCATACAACACTTGGCAAGCACAAATCCTAACACACTCAGCCACTAACTCATACTGGTATTCAAATACTTGAGGTTTGAATTGAGTCTGCTCTGTGTCAAGAGTTGAATGTGTGCGAGTGTGTGCTAAACTGTAAATTGTAAATTGTGTGTGAATGTCGGTTTTCACTTTCACTTTGTCGTGCGCGGTTCACTTGGTCAATGCGCAAACCGCTCTTTCGCTCATTCAAATGTTTGGAAATACGAAAATTTAAAGTGCAAACACCAAAAATCTATTAATGCTTATTTATTCTGATTTTTTTTAACTCAATTCAATTTCAGCTTTAGTTTCGCTCAATTTGCATTAATTCACATCAACATGGATGAAAGTTTGAAGAATGTAAAATGTAAATTTAATTTTACATTCAATTTGTGATTTGTTATTCATTTATTATTTCTTTCACAACAAGAATTAATCTGCCTTCTGTTCGTTGGCTGTTTTAAAGCTTTGAATCTACTATAAATTAAAATTACTTCTTTGTGAGTGCATTGAATTTGAGAGTTATAATTAACACAGCGTGAGATATTCGCTATCAGATTCAATCGTAAATTAAACTAGGCAGATTACCATCTGGAAATAGGGAATCAAAGCCAACAGAAACGAAATTTAATCTTTTCTTAATACGATAAATTTGCTTGTGTTGAAGTTTCGTAAACATTTCAAAGTTCACAAAAGCAACAACCAAACTCTCTTTCGGAAAATTTATTCCAAATTCCTAAATCTTAAGTTCTCCTCGACTCTTTGCTCGTCTCTTTATTTCACTCCGACCTGCGCGCGGTTTTGAGCTGTTTTTTGCGTTTTCGTTTTGTTTTATTCATGTTTTCACCGGCTGTTGTGTGTTATCCAACTTGGTTTTTTCGTGCATTCTTTCGCGCGTGTCGTAACCGTCTTCTAGCAACTAACAGCTCTTTGCTTCACGTCTCATCGAGCGCGCTCTAATATCCACATCGCCACATCGCAATTACACTCCAATTTCTACTTAAAATTTCAACTGGAGTGGATATTTATTTAGACTTTTTTGTTCACATTACAATTACTGCTGGGTTTATGCCGGTTATTCGTGACTGTAATTATGCGGATGCGTATCGGTCTTGAATTTCGGACGAAACTTATTATAAATACTTATAACTGTTAAATGTGCGTATGGAATATGACTTTCTGTAATGACTTTCGGCCATTTCTAATTGCGCATAATGATTTTTTAATTTCGTTTTGGTTTTCCTTTCTTACGTAGGTAGGTATGAAATATTACAAAAATACAAACGTTAAACTCTATGAAACTTAAATTTTCTTTGTACAATATTTGATTCTATTTTTTGCGGCCTTAAGTCACGTTCTGCTCATCCAACCAGCACAAATAATGTGGAAGAATACGCAAGAATCTGTTAGAATGTAATTTATTGTTCATAAGTATGTGAATATACGCATGTGTGCGAGTGTTTATGTATACTTTCTAATTACGAAACGTAATAATAATATTCGTTTAATCACTCTTCAGCTACGCCTCGCGGTGCAAAACGTCGAGCACTTAAAATTCTACGATCCACACTAACTAAATTTCTATTTTTGTAATTCACTAATTATTACACCACACTATTCTTTTGATTTATTATATTTGTATTTGTTTAATTTAGTTTATTTTATCCTTGCTGAAATTTTTGTATTAATTCATTACGGTTGCACACGGCGCGTAAAAACGTGTTCTGCTGATGGCTAATTTAACAATTGAAACAATTTAACGTGAAATTTTGGAATCATTAATTTCTTTAATTAGGTTTTACGGCTTGAAACTAAACCATTTGCAATTTTAATGGGATATATAACGTGTCTCGCTTTTGTGAATTCACTTTAATAATTCATAACCACCCAATGGTTTATAAAACCATATAAAAATTATTTTCGCATTTTTGAATTCACAGTAATAGCAAGTTTCAAAAAGATTAAACGCTTAAAATTGTGGTAAATATCAAACAAAAAGAATATGCTAACAGTAGAAACAAATTAGGTATCATTAACTAAGAAAATTTAAATATTCGTAATTAATATTTAAGACATTGTTTCCGTAACTTGAAGAACGACAAACAAATAATTATGGAGTAAACGCCATTTTTCTGTTTATAATAGTTCAAAGCTAATTCATAATAATAAATAAATGATTAAGTTTTAGGTTATCATATGTACAGACGTGTGTACAGATTTCAGTGATAATAATTTATTTGACATACAAATTAAAGCACTATATGTTATTAATGACTATTATTAAAATAAAATCACATTTAATTTATTCCGCATATTTTTGTTCTAATTTTAGACAATTAGATTTTAATTTGTAATTTACTAAATTTAATTTTACTCATTAAAAACTTTCTTCAAATATTTTATGAAATATATTTTATTATGTATGAAACGTTAATGGCTATATTTTGCAAAAATATAAATTTGTTTTGTATACCAACAAATGCAATGTACATTTGCAACAAATATTTCATCATGGCGTAAACAAAACAATTATGCATTAATATATTTGCGAAAAGAAATGTGTCTTATTGTCATTTTTTACATTGATATTTATAAGCGGAACAATCTATTACCGGGCATTTCTCTCTCATATTTCTCTCATTAACCGCTTCTCATATTATAAATAAACGCCCAAATTAACATCGCGCAATAGCCAATTAATATTCAATCCGTTCTCATAAAAAACGCTCTAGTTCCCACAAACCAAGTGCGAGTTATGGTCATGTGAAATTGAACTTGTAACTTGAACTTCGAGTGATATAAAAATGTCGTGTGAATTAGACACTGATATACTCAAACTGGAAGTAAATCAATTAAGACCTAAGTCACGAAATCCCAGATTATAATTGTGCTGATCGTATATATGCTTTTTGACTTCAGGCATATCAATTCACATAGGAACTAAGAAATAAAATTATCTTAGTGCTAGGAAGATTTAAACGTAATACTCACACAATTAGCTTATTTTCTTTGGTAACTACGAAGTTAATCCACGCGTCGGATTAAACACTTGAGCGAATTCGCGCACCGATAGACGCCGACAGAGCAGAAGAGCGCACCAAATTGGAAGAACGACTCAGGTGAAATCGCGCCGACGAACTGACGTGCTCAACGCGGGCGACTTAAGTCTTATACGGTTGGCCGTTTACGCTACGATAGTTTTCGATGACGATGCATGGCGTCAAATAAAATTGCTAGAGCATGAGAAGCGTGCAGCTTGAGGTTTTTTACGTGTGCGAAAAGGACGGTGAAGGTATTGGTTGCTCGTATGCAATTCGCATGTATAGTTGGGACATGCGTGAGTTACATCTATACATTCATAGCATTTATAAAAAAATTAATGCAAGTAAATACAATTAAACCTCTAGATTGGTGTTTAGCAATATAAAAAAAGAAATCTTTGGCATTAATAAAACAATTTATTAGGGTTAATATTGTGCCTTAAATTATTATAAGGATTACTAAAGAAGAAGATAATTATTTTTGTTTATTTTGGCGTGCAGATACATCTGTTCAATTTTTAAGTAATTTTCTATTCTTCGATCTTTAAAACGCCAGTTTTCCACGGTTTTGTGACACAAAAAGTGATACTTTAAACACGGACAGCCAATGTCGTGTCTAAAGTACTTTAAGCACGAGCTTTAGTCACGGGATGGAGCTTGTCCATGTGCATTTGCTTACGGTGCAGCAGGAAGCCATATGAAATGCCATGCGCCGTCAGTCAAACCAATATTATGGGCGGCATGCGCTGCTGCTTGTGTCGGCGCGGCGCGGTGTGTCTGGCCGTAAGTGATTTCGAGTGCGTACGCAAACCATGCATTTATAACATGCATCGCTTGCATGCCAATGTATAAAATTCGCTCAAAACATGTTATAAATGCGTTTTTCTACATCCATCTATAAATCGCCAGTTTTCCACGGACGGTCAAGCCGTGAGTAAAGTACTTTACTCATATTTGCCCACGGTACAGCATAAGACCAGACGCTTCTTGTGTCAGCGCGGCAAGACATTTATAACCTTATATTTGCCACTAGTGTACGAAAGAATTTCGGGAATTTAAAATACAAAATCTTAAACGTGGAAATAGAGGAAATATTAATTCTAAGCAAAAAGTAAACACTTTACGGCAGCTATACCTCACAAGTTATCGTTCTGAAAACGATACTTTATTAAAACCATTGCAAATCAATGTAAGTGTTTGTCAAACCTGATGTGACTAAAAAAATAATATTAAGTATTCAAAGACGGATATAAATACAATTCTTTTGCTATAACTTTGTTTACCTGGCGACCTGGCGAATTAATAATGCATATTTTTTTAAATTATAAATTTTCACTAATAGCAGTAGATGCATTAATATAAACAACACGTTCAAATTAAACGCAACAATATTAAACTTTCTTTTTTTGTAACAAATTAAATCGTACATAAATTTATAAACTAAACTATAATAAACTAAAGCGACATTAATATTCATAATTAATACAATTAATAAATCAACCCGAATTTATAATATCTACTATTTTAGATATCTTTAGATATTTATTAATTTATAAACACTACACGCATGAAATTTGTTACGTTTAATTGATACTTAAAGTAGATCGAAATTTATGTTTAATATCTAGCTAAATGTTATTCGTGATATGTATTTGTATGATTAACGATCGCCGAAACTAAATTGTTTTTCGTGATGTGCCTTGTTCGTAACTGGTAAATTATACTTGCTTGTCACGATTAATTAATTTTCCAAAATTGTTTAATTGTGACAATAAAATTGAAGCAAATAAAAAAAGAAACTAGCGACGCAGCAAATTCAAGTGTAGTGCATTTCCGAAATTTCTGGGAACTCAACATAATTAATTGCAACATAATTACTATATACAGGATGATTGAATTAAAACATCTTGTAATTCAAAAGAGTTTGACCAAAATTATTACATTAATTAACCAATTTAATCAAATAAATTATTTTTTAGAAAAATTATTATATTGTATAAAAATTATTATGTCATCCTGTATGGAAGAAAATAACAAAGGTATATGTATATAAATCAGCTGAGTGTAAAAAAATACAAGTTACTACCTGTACTCGTATGCGTAGACATTGCCCGTTTGTTAAATTGTAGCGGTAATTAATTTGTAGCGCGTAATATCGTACCGCAAGCGTTGATGAGAGGATGAGACGCACACACGATTAATCCACTAATTGCAGGTTTTGTGAACGTAGCAATGGTAATTTAATTAGGCGGGCAATTGGTTTGAAGTTACGAGTTTAAACACAATTTTTTGGCAAATTTCATTAAACAAGTAAACCAATTCGCTATAAATTAAACAAATTAATTGACAAGATTAATAGTGTCTTTATCGCTTAATTTTGAGTGCTTTTAATTTGTAATTTAAAAAGATTTTCATAAATTAACTCAGTTTCTACAATAGAACGAATGCAATTTTCTGTTTTTCATTTTGTTCAATACACAATTACACTTTTTACTTATTACATCGATGTATTGTATGCAATACTTGTAGTTTGCCAACTTTAATGTCACAGATAGATATTGCGCGTTCGAAGTACACAAAACAACTCGACATATGAAAAACCATTAAGTAATATTGCACAAATGTTCGCAGTTTGTGGTGAGTCGTGCATTGTGCATTTGCATGGCGTCGAATTTTAATTGTTTAACGATGTATCTAACGACTGAATTGAATCCTAAAGTTACGCATCGCAGCATTCCTATTTTTACCATTTTGCCAATGAAATTTAATTTACTTGAAATTCATGAATAAATGAATAAAGATATTGCTATAGATATTTCATCAGTTCATTTGTTATTAAATTACACGCATGATGAATTGATTGACACTTGATTTTTTTTTAATTTTTCACTATTCGTTTAACAAAAAATAAATAGATATAAACATTGCACTAATTACTGTTCTTGAGTTATCCATCATTAAACTGCAACTCAACGGTGAGATAATATCGTTGCGTTCCGTTACGTCGCGTCGCATTGTGATTATAAACAAATGATAAATATAAAATAAATAATTACGGTCGATGTCGGCGCCGGTGAAACCTCTAATTAGCCAAGAGTGTACTTGCGTTTGTATTGATGCTTTCGCCAATGGTCGAGTGTGTTAATTCGTTATTGTATTAATTACGGAAGCGGATTCGTAACACAGTGCACTCGGCGGTGCTCGCAATTGAATTAAATTCATTAAACTTATAAATTAAAGTCTGATTCGATTGCGCGTGGTGCGTTTCACAATTTCACAATTTTTCATTAACGGTGTTTTCTACTTTTTAATAGGTGCACGAACTCGTTTTCATTATTTTTGCGTTCTATGTTTAGCGCTTTGTAATTGAAAAATAATTGAAGGTGTTATTTATTGTTAGAAATAAAGTTTGTTATTTAAAGATATCTTTTCAATCATTTTGTATATTGCATTAGGCAACTTGTTATATCAGAAACTTGATTAAAAGATGCCCATGATTACAATAATTGTTACTTAATTTGTATCAATAAACAATAATTTTTATTAAATATTTATATAGAATGTTGTTTAACCTGATTTTCACTTAATATTTTAGATGTTTATGGTTTAAATATATATTTATACTGGAATTTTAGTGTTTGATAAACTTCTAGTTCGTTTTACAAAGATTTGAAAAATTTGAAGAATATGTGTCCTGCGTTAATTGCTAATAATTTTCAATTATTTTTTTATTCCCTCGTATGTACTTTTAATACAATTTATTACCAACAAAAGTAAGTGTCCTTCTATACTTTCTTATGTTCGAAATACATATATACCTACATTTCGGTTTTGTACAATCAAATAAAAAAACTGTGGGGAATTCAAATCGGTAGACTTGGAATCGTTAATTATTACCAAGCGAACTGAGCGTAAATAATTAATTGTTTTTTTAATGCCGGCGAGTGTGTGACGGGAAGTTAGAAATTAAGTTAAATATCGATTCCACTAATATCAACTCACACTCACTCACATCTTCAGCGCTAATAACTATCAAATTAACAAAGTTATCAATGTCGCATGGGAAGATTTTTATTTCGGACACAACCACAAATTTGATCGGCAATTAAACAGGTAATTACGTTAATAAAGACTAATAGCCCAGATAAGCTTAAAAACTTTAATAATGGTAAAACTTTTACTTTAAACGTTGTTAATTTTTAACGTAAAAAATTTAAGTTTTAAGCAATATGTAATGAAAAAAGTAATTACCATTTAATATCACGACTTCGAGAGATATACGAGTAAGTAGTGGATTGCTTAACTTTAGATGCATTTTTTATCACGTGTAATTCACGTTTCTTCACGATGCCATTCGCCATTATGGCAAATTGGCAAATTACAAATTTATAACAAGTAAATGTATGAATCATCGTTCTTGAACAGGTGAATACGCAACAAACAAATGCAATAATCGGACACAATCAAGATCGGACAATCTCCGACAATCTGAAACTTACTTAAGTTGAGCATTAGTGCAACATACAGACT